GGCACCGGTGATTGCACCTATTGAAATTGCGATTTTTATTGAAAGGGGGACTAAAAATATGAGGGTGTTAGTAGATACATTGGGAGAGTATTGTATATAGATAATGGAGGGATACATACTTACGAATGGCATTATTATTGCTGGTGGTGGTGGTCTAATAATAGATACAAATATTATTAAAAATATGTGACATTGGGATATTTTGTTAAAATAGGCTGAGATAAGTACAGTAGAATAAACAAGAGAAAAATCAGAAAAGGGGGACCACAGTTAACAAATTAATCAAATCTATTGGTGATTTTATATTTTATTTTAAAATAAAGTTTTAATTTTTGAATTAATATATAAATTATATATTGAAATTCTATATTTACATATTTGATTCATATATGATTTATGTTAAGTGCTTACTAGATAGATTTGTTCATAATCTTTTGTAAAATGAAATAATAATTGTGATAAAATCTAGTGGAAGAACCAATAAAGAAATAGTACAAATTAAATTGACCACCTGTGTCATTACTATTCATTAAAAGACTCTGATAATTAAGTCTGATTTTATAGTATCTGACAGATACAAATATACAAATAATAATACTATAACAAGTTGAATACACAGTATACCCATTCAATTAGAAACAAGAAGAACAATCTCATCTTCATTTATTCGTTTATTTCTTTTTTGCAGCCTATTTTTAAAATATATCACAAAATTCCATAAAAAAAAAAAAAAAAAAATTCCACATTGATTATACCAGGAGAGAATGAACCAGCCACATATATCAACTATCAGTAGCTGTTATATCCAATAGGATTCAATCGTATACGATTCGTTCCGCGGATATTCGTACATACTGTACATTGTTTGGTTCCTGCTCAGACTAATTTGCTTTATTCGTATCGTTTCGTTAATAATACTTTCTTTGTTACCACAATTATTATGACTAAAATAAAAATTATTAATTTCTTTCGGGCCGTCTTCATTGTTCATCATCTTCAACTTCTCCTATAAATACAATAATATAAATACTTCTGACTAATCCTTTGAAAATTCTACTCTTCTTCTTCTTCTTTACTCTACTAAGAAGCCAAAATGACTACAGATCCACTCGTACCAGATGTAATTACATCAAGACCACTTGGAATAATGGAAACATTTTTTAGATGTAGAACTGCTTGTGGGTTTTATAAAAATTTTCAAGTTACTTCAACTTATAATCAAGACTTACAAAACAACTTAGATTTATTATATAAAGCATTAAGAAAGACACTTATTGATTATGCTATCTTAGCCACTAATATAAAATATGATAATCAATTAGGTACTTATGTTTATTCTCCTATAAATAATGTTAAATATGGTGATATCCTTTCAATTGAACAAAATGATGAAGAATATCTTGATGATAAACAGTTTGTTACTGAAAAGTTTATGAAGAAAGTTAATGATATTACATTTACCTTATATACCAATGAAATCTTATTTAAACTTATTTTGGTTGATAAGAATCAATTATGTTTTGTTGTTGAACATACTATAGCTGATGGATTAGTTGGGAATTATTTCCATGAAATATTAGTTGAAAATTTAGCTTATTGTGATCAACAAAACAACACCCAAGAATATCTCGAGAACTATGGTCCTACACCCGATAAGATCACTTTTGATAGTTGTATTTTTGATTTTGAATCTGATAAACAATATATCAAATATTCGCTTCCACCACCAATAGATCCATTTCTTGAAGATATTGACCTCGACCACACCTACAACAACCCCAATTTCCACGAAAAAGTCACCCCTAAGGGACAAACTAAATGGAAAGGACGTTTCCCAGAATCATCTCCAACTTTTACCGCCTCATTCAAATTAATAAACTTCACTCCTTCCCAAACCCGCCAAATAATCCAAAAATGTAAATCGGAAAACGTAACCTTAACTTCCTACCTCGAAGTTATCCAAGCTATTTCATTAAGACACATATATCCACCAAACCAATACATGTCAATCAAAGTCGCCATGACATTACGTCGACACTACGACCCAACAAAAGCCCCCGTTGAATATCAAAAAGTCTTGACTACTCCCACTTATAAAAATATGGGAAATTCCCCCCATATGGGCTTTGCCGAAAATATCCCAAAACTATCTACCACCTTAGATTGGGACTATGTCAGGAAGATCAACACAAACCTTTTCAATTCAGCCAGGAATACTCGTGCATTACATATACTTAAACCATTCCGTGACAATCATGACCCCAAATCAGACAATCCGGAGATTTTTGAAGGTAAGATTGGAAAACCCATGGATGATTCCGTCAAGATTTCAAATTTGGGATATATCAATGTACCAGAATATCCTGGGGATGCGGGTCGGATGTGGACGATTGAGAATATGGTGTTTGCTCAAGATATGGCGTTCTATGCGGCGGATTTTATGTTGAATTGTATAAGTACCCCCAAGGGTGGGATGAATCTTGTGTTGAGTTATTTGGAAAGACCAGAGATGAGGGATGGGGAGGATATGGAGAGGGTGGTGGAGGAGTTGAGGGTGAATATGTTGAAGTATGCTGAGTAGAGATAGACTTGTTTTTTTAGTAGAATTTTTTAATAGAAGATAGATAAATGTATTTGATTACATAGAAAAATTATATATTATTAATTATCAACAAAGTCAAACAACTGTTAGAGAACGCACCTTAGCTGCAACAATTGGAAGCATTTGATCTAGATTTCATCGATGTTTAAACTGGAATCATTGCTTATGACGAATCTCTTGCGAACTCTGACAATATGAAAGTATCTATAACATCTCACTTGGTAGCCCCACAATAGATTTGGATCTTGTTTAAAACAATCAGTGAGTTCGGTTGCGTGTATTAATAAATTTTCATATGAACCAGACACAGCCTTACGCCTGATACAAGCAACCACATAGTTATCAGCGTTACAGGGACAATGACTTCATATATACCACTAGACGAACAACAATTCCTTCCGACGAACCCTGACCAATCAAACCCATTCTCCCCAGAAGAGCCAATCCTACTACGATCAAAAACAACTGGAAAATGGTTAAATCAAGATAAACTCCAACCCGTACAACGATTCGATGATTTCAGAACAATAGATTGGGTAGAAGATGAATTAGACGAACATAAGCAACGATTACTCAAAAGTAAAAGCATTTCAGGAACTTCAATCAAATTCAAAGATAAAATAATCGCCCAAATCCAGAATTGGGTCGTATTAGCAATAATGGGAATCATAATTGGATTAATTGCCGGTTGTTTAAATATCATAACTGCATTCTTGTCAAGTTTGAAGAATGGCCATTGTAAGGGAAACTTATACCTAAATGAGCTGTTCTGTTGTTGGCATCAAGAGGGGGGACATTGTAAAGATTGGGTTAAATGGACTGATTATGAACTTGTCAATTATTTATTATATATTATACTATCGATCCTGTTTTCATTCACGGCAGCGGTGTTGGTGAAAACATATGGACCTAATGCTGCCGGATCGGGGATTTCGGAGATTAAGTGTATCATTTCCGGGTTTGTTATGGATGGGTTCTTGAATTGGTCCACGCTTGTTATGAAAAGTGTAGGATTACCATTAGTTATCGGATCGGGATTAAGTGTGGGTAAGGAAGGTCCTAGTGTTCATTATGCCGTATGTGTCGGTAATTCAATTGCGAAATTCATTACTAAATACAGAAAATCAGCCTCAAAGGGGAGAGAATTCTTAACTGCAACTTCAGCAGCTGGGGTAGCTGTCGCGTTTGGGTCCCCTATGGGAGGCGTATTATTCTCAATTGAAGAAATGACATCCACATTCCGACTTTCAACTATCTGGAAATCATATTTCTGTTCACTTATCGCCGTAACCACCCTCGCGGCCATGAATCCATTCCGGACAGGACAACTAGTCCTCTTCGAAGTCACCTACGACACCAATTGGCACTACTTCGAAATCCCAATCTACATAATCCTCGGAATATTCGGCGGTCTCTACGGGATAATCGTCTCCAAATTCAATATTCGAGTCGTCGCATTTCGCAAAAAATACTTATCATCCTTCGCCATCCGAGAAGTCCTCCTCCTCACCCTCCTAACCTCCAGTTTCTGCTACTTCAACGAATTCCTCCGCTTAGAACTAACAGAATCAATGCAGGTCTTATTTCACGAATGTCACGACACGAATTTCACCCATCCCATCTGTGACCCAAACTCGAAAAAAACCTTCATCCTCGTCTCACTCCTATTCGCCACCATTGCAAGAATGTCACTCACCATCATAACCTACGGCTGCAAAGTCCCCGCCGGGATCTTCGTCCCCTCCATGGCAGCCGGCGCCACTTTCGGACGCGCATTGGGTGTCATCGCCGACATGATCTATCAATCCCATCCTAATGCCGGATATTTCCAAACCTGCCCTCAGGATGGGAGTCCATGTATCATACCCGGAACATACGCATTTCTTGGTGCCGCGGCGGGATTGTGTGGAATAACGGATCTAACTGTAACAGTGGTGATTATTATGTTTGAACTCACGGGAGCGTTGCGATTTATTGTGCCGACGATGATTGTGGTGGCGGTGACCAAAGGAATAAATGACAGATGGGGCCATGGTGGGATTGCGGAACAGATGATTAGGTTTAATGGGTTGCCATATATGGATTCCAAGGAGGATTTTGTATTTGCGGTGACGGTAGAAGCGGCAATGTCGAATGTGGTGGTGGCGTTCCTGAGTGAAGATGATGATGCTAATGGGGGGATGAGGTTGGGTGATGTGAGGAAGGTGTTGGCGAAGTGTGAGTATAAAGGGTTTCCGATTGTTGTGTCGGGGAGAAATCCGAAGTTGTATGGATTTATCCCGAGATATGATTTGGAATATGTGTTGAAGAGTTATGGAGGATATGATGAGAATACCTCCACATTAAAATCATCACTTTCTTCGAGACTACTACAACAACTAAAATCACGTCTGGTTAATAGATCACCAGTTTCGGTTAATTTAGGAGCTAGTTTGGAGTTTGTGGGTGATATTTTCGCAAAAGTAGGGCCCCGGTATATTTTGGTTGAAAAAGATAATGGAACCTTAGTCGGAATTATCACTAAAAAGGACATCCTCCGATATGAATTCGCCATGGAACATGCGGAAACTGGTCAGAAGGAACAAGCACAGAAATCAAACGAAGAACAAGTTGACGCCAAAATCTGGGAATTTATGGTTGTGATTGGAACATCCGCCCGGAAAAACCTAGGCAAACTCTTACACAATGACGCTAATCGATATATTACATAGTCATATAAACATAAACTTATATACAATTTATAGAATTCTTATTGATCTTTCCATTTTCCATAATCCTTATAATCATTATAAATACTTCTAAACAACGTTCTTCCACTCATATCCAACCCTTGACTAACAACCTTCAATTCAACCGATGACAATAATCCGAAAATACTATAAACCCCAACCAACAATTCATCATTCACCAATTTCGTAAAACCATGAGTCAAGACTAAGGATATATAATTACTCAACAAAACACCAACATGCTTACGTAATCCTTTCTTATGTATATTCGTCATCGTCGTCAATGCCCCTTCTTCATTATTCTTATTACTACCGCCTCGTTCAGCTGGCTCACACAAGTTGGTGATCAATCTACTCAACGCCGCGGCTGCATCGATATCATTCGGGTTATTCCGTAAAAGTTGGTGGCCTAGCTTCTTTGACCTCCACTACCTCTAATGCAAGTGATGTCTGGTGGATAGTTTGTATCTATGTGCAAGGAGAATAGTTGAGAATAGTTGCGTTGTGAGGATATATGTCTCGCCGTCACAGGATTTGTTGATGATGTGAGGGATGAGAGCGAGGGTGGTTTCGAGGATATATTGGTTGAAGAGCCATGATTTGTCAATGAGGAGTGATTTTATGGTTGAGATTATGAATTTGAGGTGGGCGGTGGCGGTTCCGGAGATGGTGGTTTGGATGAAGAGTCCGAATGATTTTGCGATGAGTGATAATGATGAGTCTGATGATTGTTTGGACATGGCGTTCAAAAATGCAGCAGCGATGAAGATTGCTGCGTCATGACTCGGATCGTCTTGGTACCTCCACTACTTCTTAACCTTATCCAGCACTATCCATAGAGACAGGAACAAACCAAGTCTTTGTAAGAATTTAATAAGATATGGATAATTCTTAACGAGGTCTTGACTAGTCATGAATAATGTAATGATATATATCCCCTTCTTCAAATCATCAATTGGGATAATATTGGCATAGATCGGAAATACCAAGTCTGTCGATAATCCACTGTCTTGATTTTTCAATTTTTTGATAATAATCGAAGAATAATCATCTTCTGTTTGTTGATCATTATTTTGGAGAACTTTCATAATGGAATTGATATACCATTCCCTATCAGCCCCATCTATTCCTTGTACACATCTTTCAATAAACACACCCTTCAACTGTTTTACGTCTCCCTTCACTTCCTCAACTTCAGCAGCTCCATTACTCAAAATAATCACCGTCAATCTCATCTCCCCAGTCACACCTCCGTTCTTCTTGCCATTCTTCTTCTTCTTCAACAGCTTGATTAATCTGGTTATTCCATCTTTAACATATGACAAATTCTTTTCACCATCCTTGATCATCCTTAAATGATTATTCCAAACAATCTCGCCAATCTCCCCCGCGCCAGACAATTCCATGACTTTTATCAACTTATCAAAATCAGTTTCTAATTCCGATTGGAAAGTCGGCATCTCCAATAAATGTCTAATCATCTCCAATACCTCTTGTTTCCCATTTAATGGATTGCTATTATTAAACAGGTACTCACTAAAGAAAACTCTTGCCCTTTATGTGGTTATCGGAACATATTCCAATGCTTTCCATTCTTCTTCAATATGTTCTGCGATGTGTTGGATGAGTGCGGATGTTAATTGGGTATGTTCATAGAAATAATGATCTAGTTCCAGTACATGATCAGCGATTTTCGGGATGATGGATTGGATCGAACCCGATGAGAAATGGTTTGTGATAACTGGGATCCATCTTTGGAATACTTTCAAGAAATCATCTGCTGGGAGGAGAATGGTGGATATGAATTCCGATTGGACATCTTCCGGAACGCTAGGGATGATGTTTAGTTCGAGTAGACGAAATGTTAAAAAATAGTAGTATTTGTTCTTTGGTTTGGACTTGGTGGATTGGGTAAGTAGACTGGAATTGAATTCGTAGGAGTGGCGATAGAGACATAATAGATAATATCTAATCTCCCATAATTCTTCTGTCTTTTCTTGATTGAAGAAATCGGTTTTGGATAAGATGATTGCTTTGACATTATCGATGATATTATCTGAACTCATTAATAATCCCTTAGTTATCGCGCTATAGATTGGATATTTGACATTGTTAATCTCAATCTTATCGACATGTTCCAAGATCATTGATAATTGTCTAACGGTTATACCCTTAATGGAATCTGCGATTACCGAAATTACTTTTTCGTGATTCCAAATCGACAGTATGGGGATTGCTTTTGGCCAAACATTGGTGAAGAAGTCGACTAAGTCACGATTTCTTATATATGCATTCACCAAACTTCCAATCACATCAATAATCCCTTCTTTCTCTTTGTGTGATTTCGTGGAGGTGGTGACAAAATCAGCCAGCTCTACTGCTAGTTTTGTATCCAATTCGAATAAATACTTAATCATCTTCCAATTTATCTTAGAATCATCAGTGGTTTCTTTTTCGAAGATACCGAGGGCAAATTCATGGGTGAGTGTTTTTCGAGTATTTGCGAGGATTGATAATAAGTCTTCTGCCAAGTTGGGGAATTTGGTTATGAGGATGGTATATGATTGTTCACAGATTGTCATGTCAGTGTTGGCATAATTGTCGACTATTAATTTGAATAATAATTGAATTGAATCCGTGGTGATTGTTTTGGATTGGTTCTTGAGAAGGGTTTCTAGGTTTGATATGAAATTAGTTGTGAATTCCTGATCGAATAATCTGGTGATTAATATCGATTGAAAGATTGAAGATGATGGACTGGTAGTGAAGGTTAGATATTTCAAAATGATTGGAGATTCTTGAAAGAATTTTGAATATGATTTCTTGGAGATTCCGAGAATTGATTTATGAATTCCAATTTGATAAATATCATTTATAAGTTCATTCCATTGAAGATTCATAGTACTACTCAATACGAGTTCATTGGAAAGATATGCAAATAATAATGAATTAGCTAAAGGTTCATCAATATCAATAAACGATTCTGTAGTTACCATCTTAATTACATCAAATAGACTCTTGAACAATTGTGAATCAGCTTTGGACTTAAAGATATCAATTGTAATTTCGATAAGTTTAATCTTTTGAATTAACTTATTACATTGTGATTTGGGAGTTGATTGATATACTTTAATTAATAATTGCCATACTTGTGGATCATATTTCCAATTACCGAATGGTGCTTTAGTATCATTTAATCTATCAATTAATAAATTGAATATAAAGATTGAAGTATTTGGTAGATAGATATCAATATTACCATCGATTGCTGATTGACAAGTATTGATTATTTCTTGTAATGATGAATTCTTTGATCTTAAGAATTTAGTAAACGATTCAGCTGAGTTTATATCAGCCATCTTGTTTCTTTATTATTGAAAGATATCAGTTTAAAGAGAGGAATAGATTGGTTTGGTATAAATTTATAGTCCAATAATTTTTTTTTTCAGTGTTAGATCGAGAGAAGCTCATCGCGATGGACTAAGAATTTATGAAGAGATGAAAAGAGATGGGACAATTCAATTATATAATAAACAATTATAGTAACGTATCCTTATGTTGACATTCCGATAGAGATGCCAACTGACTATTCAATTGAGACTTTCATTCTACAGAGGAAAACGAAGATATCTTCTGTTATTTTATGCTTTTTATTAAGTAATTAATTAATTAATATTATACAACTTATATATGAATTTGATATTCTTTGGCTAATTTAGTTATTTCAAAGTTAGAATAGAAATTATGGTATGATTTGGTTCTTGATAGTAGAAGCATCATTAGAAGTAACAGAAGCAGCAATAACTGGTCTAGAAACACCACAAGCTCTACCTAAAGCAGCTTTAGATGGAACAAAAACATATGGAACATTCTTATCTTCACATAATAAAGGTAAATGTAATAAGATTTCAATAGGTTCAGTATCAGCAGCCATAATGATGAATTCAGAAATACCTCTGTTTAAAGTTTTGGTAGCTTCATTGGCACCTTTCTTTAATTGTCTTAAATTTTGAGCTTGTTGAACAACATCTAAAATTTGTTGAGATAAAGCTGAATCAGCTAATGGGAAAGCTTTTGGGTTTGGGGCAGACATTGTTTGATATTAATTTTGTATATACGGTTCCTTGCAATAGAAGTAGCTCGCCAGTAAAGTTTCTGTTTATTAAAATAGAATCTTATGAAGAAGAAGAAGAAGAAGGTGAAGAAGCTTAAAGAATAAAGCGATGAGATTAATTTTTCAGTTGAGACTAAACGGGAACAAAATATTATTTGTTAGTGATGAAATATACTACTATGATAAATATTATTAAGTAAATGTGATACTTAATTGTATTAAGAAATTTCAATTTTTCCCTTTCTCCCAATTTAATCTTTCAACTACAATTATTCCAATTGATCATTTTATATAGAATCAACTTATCGAAACAACAACAACCAAAATATTCTTATTAAATTATATATAGATAGTACAGACTAAATACCATACATGTTAAAAGCCACAGGCTTATATGACCAATTGATGAGAGAATGTGAACTGGGAATGCGAAGAACAATTCCAATCAATTTTAGAAATATGTTAAACAATTGATTGTCGAAGATAGAGATTATATCAGAATTAACATGTTAATACCAAATAAGAGTTTAATTACAATATCAATTCATTGTCTGTATTCACAGATAATACTTAATATCATGTCAATTAGATTGATTCGGGTCATATTGCTCAAATACCGTCGAATTCATATTCAACATTCAACCCAGCCACTCAACGTGGGGCTCATCCCCATCAACCTTTCTTCAATGTCTATATATTTATTAGATTACCTTACTAACACACTATTTATAGTCCAGTTTATGCACCATTCTTTGGTTCCATCGGTTGTGCGAGGCGTTAACATAAGTGGACAAAGCCACGAAGAATACCATGTCGGTTTAGGCCACTTGGTATTTGTGCCACCTGTGTAACTAGACCAGATTTATTAGTTAAAAATGTTGTTCCTGTGGTTATGGCCGGTATTATTGCCATTTATGGATTAGTCGTTTCTGTGTTAGTTTCAGATTCTTTAAGTCAAAAACAAGCTTTATATACTGGTTTCATTCAATTAGGAGCTGGTTTAAGTGTTGGTTTATCTGGTTTGGCTGCCGGATTTGCAATTGGGATTGTCGGTGATGCTGGGGTTAGAGGTACTGCTCAACAACCTAGATTGTTTGTTGGGATGATTTTGATTTTGATTTTTGCTGAAGTTTTGGGGTTATATGGATTGATTGTTGCTTTGTTGTTGAACTCTAGAGCTTCTCAAGATGTCACTTGTTAAAAGTGCCAAAGGGACTCTACGTTGTTGCCGTCGGCAACTTTTTATAAAAGCATACGCCAAGCGGAATATATCAAGGTGACGTTGTGACCTTCTTTTATAAGACATCGCCAAGCTGTGTATGCCATTTGTTCATTGTTCTCATAAGAATCATATTCATATCTTTTCTATCATAAAATCATATTTATCATGTATAAAGTTTCAATAGTTTATGTAATAACTTATGAAAAGACATGGTTACGCCATTTATAGTGCCGTAGGCACACGGTTTCCCCAAGCAACTTTTTATAAAAGCATATGCGAAGCCGGTGCCGCGGGCATCTCTTCTAGTATTTATACGCATGACGGATATATTAGGTGACTGCGTCACCTTTTTTAAACTGATAAGTGCCGCAGGCAGTTTTTCTAAACTCATAAGGTGGGTATAACACTTGCTCATTAGTTGTATTTTTATTACTTATGTCTGCTCTATCATTTTTTGTATGATAGAAGATATTCAACTACATGACTACATTATATACAACGCGTAAAAGCTACTCTTTCTATTAATATTATACATCTATTCTAAATATACTCTTCCAATTCTTCCAACAACTTTATTTCTCAAATATCGCAACATCTCATCTACACTGTGAGGAACATCCGCTCCCAAGACCTTTCTCCAATCATACTCCCTGGCTTCATCTTCATCCACATTCGTAATTGAATACGCATACAATTCCTGCCCTTGGTCGGCATCTTCCGGAGTACTATCATTCTCATATCCATCCACCAACTCAATAATCATAACCAAATCAGCCAATGTCCATCTATTCCCCTCTTTAAAAAATGGTAAGAATTGACATAATAACAACGGAACGAATTTCTTAGGCATATAATTATGTTTTAACAAATGTATCAACTTTCTCACCCTCTTTCCAACCACCACCTCACTACCACCAAAACATTCCTCTTCTTGTTCGGTGAAATATTCATACAAAACAGCATAGGGAGCCAAACATTGCTGAATCACAGGATGAGCAATCCTTAAACCCTCGGTCCGTTTTAAGATTAAGTTATTCACTAACTATAGGAATTAGCCAGATAATACTTGGTTACGTAGTCGTTTTTAGTATAGGGTTTCCACATAATGTATCTGTTTTATCGCTTTGTTGTCACGAGAATTTGGATCGTAGGAATTGGCAAAGTTATGAAGAGATTCATAAATATATCCCTCACCTAAAGATTTGAGTCCGGCATTATAATATAATTCCCGCGCGGTTTTTATCAAGTTCATATCGGCACAGATCGTGAGTGTCCATTCTAGATCGTCATTAGTGGTACAGGTGTAATTAGGCAAGAAATCGGCGATCACCTTCGTGGAATTAAGATTTGAGTTTGATGATTGGAGGATTATTGGATTACGCAAGAGGCCGATTCCGACGGGGACTAATGGGTGGATATTGAGTGCTTCGTAGGCGTGCCTGACGAGAAAATATTCCGAGATGGATTTGTGGGTATGATGATGGTGTTGGGTATGGGTATGGGAAATGGAGGTGTAGTAGGTTTCGAAAAGGGATTTGAGATCGAATAGGAGGGATATATATGCAGCAGTGGCGGGTTCGAGGATATATAAGCTTTCCAATACTTTTAAGAATTTCCCGTCTAAGATATTTAAAAATGAATTCTCAACCAATTGATCAAGATTTATGTCATTTGATGAAGATGAAGATGATGATGATGAGGTTGGAATTGATGGCTTTTCATTGATTGCCATTTGGAAATATTCTTTATACAATTCTTGATTGTCATTCTCGTCACGAACTTGATATAATACCAATGCAAGATATACATCATACCAATTGTCACAATAACTGGCAATACTCTTAGGCAATCCCGTCAAAATACAAACCAAATCAAAAATCTGTCCAGCAATAATCTGATACTTCGAATCCTTAATCTTAATCCTTGAAGCAAATGAATCTCTAAATTCACACATTAACAACTTCCATTGGGTAAATTGACCTTTATGACAAAATCCTTGATAATCTTGAATCAAAGTATCCAAATCAATAATCAATCCGTATAATTCCGGACAAATATCTTGTAATTCCTCAAATTTGGAATGATATATAGCTTCATGGAGTTGTTGAAACAATCCTCTAGTTATATATTGACTAATTAACACATTCCAGAATTGTGGGTGTTCATATGGTTTTGGGGTATTAATCATGATTTGTTCAACAAGGGCTTTATCGGGTTTTGGATCATATGTGTTGACCCATTCAAGGATTGAATCTGGTTTGGTTCGTATGTCAGTTGCGAAATAATGGGCGGCTAGACATTGTAGGATGGTTTGGAGGTGGCGCAATTTCTCTGCTTCTTCATCAATGTCGTTATTATTTGTAGTGGATTGGATGAATGAGGATAAAGATTCTTGAATTTGTTGAAATGATTCATTAATTTTTATAGATTTTTGATTGATTGAAGGTGGAGTACTGTTAGTAATCAACCCAATTGGAGATTCATCATCATCCTGTTCAACGCGTGTAATAGCTTCACTCTTTGTAAGAGTTTCAATGATTTTATATAATGATTTAATATATGAAATATACTGTTGTTGAAAATTATCCATATTGGTAATACAACTCTTTTTATATTTTTTAGAATCAAAATGGAATTGTAAATACGACGATTCATTGCTTAACCAATCTGATAGTTCTATATATTCAGCTTGTGATTTAAATAATGAATTTCTTGAATCAGTTGAATCAGAATTGGAAATTACATCAGTATCTGATGATACTGAGATATTACTATCATCTTGATCGTCATCGTCTGGTATTTCCAACATTTCTATATCTTGAAATGTTTTATTATCATAATTAAACTCTACCATTTTGTTAAAAATCACTTTCAATTGTATTGTGAAGTATAATCCCTGTGTTTATATGAGTTACAATTATTGTAAAGTAAACAACTTTTGTCTTCAATTTTTTTTGCAGAGCCAAATGAAGAGGTCGTGTAGATGTGATCAAATTTAACGAGAACATGTGCTACCATGTGTTGCATATATTTCTCTCTCTCTCTCTCTCTATCTCTCTTCTTCTTCTTCTTCTTTTCTATAAGGTACAAGGGAGAGTCACACTCTATTTTGAATTGTGAAATTAAGTAAGTGGGGTCTTAGCAGGATGTAGTTATCCAGTATGAAAAAGTAGGAGAACTATTAAAATTGATTAGACTCTATGTAAGAATACTTTCTGTCAGATTCGTGATTTGATGATATAAATTCATTCCCCTTTTATATGGAGTTTCTTCAAGATGGAGGGTTGAGAAGTTAATTTATTTTACATTGAGAATCAGAATCCAAAGTTTGGTTAGAATCAAATTCAAGGCTTCGAATATAAACGCATACTAAATAGTTTTTTGTAATTGTTTTTATTTTACACTAACTAGAAAAAGAATGGAGCTGGATATCATCACCCACGGCATCATTCCAATTCAAGTTCTATACAACATGAATTACAACACCAATTGCCAATAGCATAATCAGGAAATACCAACGAATACTGATAATGGCACCTATTCAAATACAGCGAAACTATCCGTTTTCTTATTGACCCACATCACCATCGATGAACATGATAGACGCAATGAGGAATAAAATGAAAAACAAGCTTCATTACAGAGTTAACGAGTTATTATAGTGTACCAAGGAACTACAAGAAATTGAAAACCTCCAATTGTTTGGATTATCCATCTTGGGCTAATTGAAGTTATATCTTCATTTAAACTGTAGTTGTGACTTTGTTAAATTTGATAATGATTCTTTTATATAAAATTGTTGTTGAATTAAATGCAAATCTCTTAATTGTGAATAAAATTATTGCAAAATTTTTAACAAATAAATTTAAATTAAGGGGGGGGGGAAGTCTTATCTTTGTTTAAATATATGATTCTAGATTCATTACACTTTCTATCAATAAGATAGTAGTAGTTGTATATGTACATAGTCTTAATTTACACTCTTCCACTCTTCCACATTTTTGCATTACTTATCATTTGTTTGATTTTGTGGAAAAGAAGCATTTGTTTAATTAAAATCTAATTTTAGAATTTTAAATTTAAAAGTTTACACTAAATTAAAATTATCATCTCCAGTGAACTTGTCTAATAAGCAACTGTACTTTACTACAATTAATAGGTATATATATATATATATTTACCCAATAACAATTATCTATCTATATCCACATTCATTCATCATCATCACTACATTATTAACCCATTCTTCAATATACAACCTACAACTCAATTTCTCTTACTTTGAATAAAACTAAATAAATAAAAGATCAATTTTTTACAACCACATTCACAACCACATTCACAATTAATTCATATCAACAATAAAATTAAATATGAGTTATCAATTATGAAAATATCGAATAATAATAATAATAATACCAACCATACAATGATACCGCCCACAGTAGTAGCATCATCATCATCCACTACCAATAAATCTCAATGGAGACTATCTAAATTGTTAAAAGGATCATCATCTTCTACTAATCCACAAATACCTTTAGCAAAGAATTTACAATCAACTGATTCAATTGAGGATCATATACATCCACATACAACAGTCACATCATCAACATCATCAACATCATCACAATCTCAGACATTAAGTAAATGCTACTGCTGTGGTACAATTTTAAGCTTCCCAAGTAAAGCAAAGAAATTTAGATGCTCAATATGTCATACAACAAATTTATTTGAATTGGTACCCGAGACTCATCATTATCATCTAATATCCTATCACTATGTTAAAAGCCTTATAGATCAATGTTACGCCAAAGCACAAACAGAATCAGGTCAAAAACAATCATTACATGAATTATTTGGTCCTCTTTCTAGCTATTTATATAATTCATTCAAAAGTAATCATATACTTAATAACTCATTCAAGATTAAACAATCAAGTAAAAGAATTCATTATCATACTTCCAATATAAATTTCAAAGAAGTTCGTGATTTATTTAATTTATTGACGAAATTACCAACAAAAAGACCATTGTTTTCAGCCATGAAGGGTGCTTCAGAACAATTAAAAAGATTATATGTAAATAATGATTGTAATGATCCAAGGAATTATAGTTGGATCTTAATTCTACTTGAAATACCCATTTTATCTCGTTCATTAGTTGATGAAGCCATAAAATCAAATATGAGTGATGTTGTAGAAATTAAAATGTTAAGTTATGATGTTTTAAAAAGATGTTTAGGTGTTTTATCATCAATAGATACAGTTAATTCAAATAATTATATTTCGAGTTGGTTTTCAAAATTAGATTATTTGGAATTTATTAAAAAAATTGATTTAATTAATCTTTATATTACCTTTCAATTAAAGAAGTATTTTTATTTGGCAAATAATCCTCATATAAAATTGACTCCACCACGTTCATCACAATCACAAGCACAGTCACAACCGGAGACCGTAGATCATCGTGAACCAAACGATATGGAATATCTTGAAAATATAAATTTAAAACGAAGTATCGAAGCTAGTAATAATCCTCAAGATTCAATCACATCTCCAGGTCAATTGTCTTTACCGGACAGCCAACATTCAACCAATCCCTTCCCAACCAAGTCAAAATCCAAAAAGAAGCATTCTCAAGAAACAAAAATCAAAATCCATCAGTATGGAAATGATTGGCATATTCGTTCGGCATTAATTGTTTTATCCACCTTATACAAAGCCAACTCGGTACGTGAAGATCCTATACCAACTTGGACATTCTATAATTCCTTAGTGGATTATGTCAATATAAAACTTGATTTCGATTCTTGGCAAACAAGTACGAAAACCAAACGAACTAGTACTACCAATGGGAATATTCATCCTGAAATCCTGACTATTATAGGATATATCCATGGTACAAGCATGAATAAAAAACTATATGATGATGCATTATATTACTTTTGTCAATATCCATTCTTGATCTCATTAGGAAGCAAAATATCCATCCTAGAATATGAAGCTCGTCGACAAATGGAACGTAAAGCAGAAGAAGCATTCATAAACTCCTTGGATAAACGAGTCGCGATTGATGTTTATTTCCGTATCAGAATCCGCCGTGATCACATCGTACAAGATTCTTTACATTGTATAAAAACCAATTCATCAAATTTGAAAAAATCACTCAAGATTCATTTCATTAATGAACCAGGAATAGATGCTGGTGGATTAAGAAAAGAATGGTTTTTATTATTAACCAAAGAAATCTTCCATCCTCAATCAGGAATGGTTTATAATGTCGAAGATTCAAATTACTTATGGTTTAATATCGCCCCAATAGAACCAAATTTTGATATGTATTACCTATTTGGAGCAGTATTAGGATTAGCAATATATAATTCTACTATATTGGACCTACAATTCCCAGTGGCATTATATAAAATCCTAATGGATAAACCAATTTCAAACCACGATTATCTTCAATTATTCCCCATAACCTACAAAAACCTCCTCCACCTAAAAACCCTATCCCAACCCGATCTCCTCGCCCTCGAACTCACATTTGAACTCACCTATTCAAATCCATTCGGCAAAACATACACGAAACCACTCATCCCCAACGGATCCCAAATCCAAGTCACTCGGGACAATCTAGACTCATATATCCACAAATACATAAATTTCTTCATGTATGATGGTATCCAACCACAACTCCAACAATTCAAATCCGGATTCACAAACGTAATAGGTGGAAATGCCCTTTCGTTATTCCTGCCCCAAGAAATCCAACTCCTCCTATGTGGATCCCCCACCGACACGAATTCCATCGATGTAACCATTCTCCAATCAGTCACGAAATATACCGGGTGCTTTAGCGCAGTTCTCCGCTAACTTTCACTACACCACCCCACCAAAACCCTTATATTGACGGAATGTAGTCTTGGGGAAAGGAAGAAGGTGTTGGTGTTTGTGACTGGGAGTGATCGGGTTCCGGCTACGGGGATTCAGAATTTGGCGTTTAAGATTAGTTTAATTGGAGGTGGAGATGGTGAGAGGTTGCCGGTGGCGCATACTTGTTTTAATGAGTTGGGGGTTTATAGTTATGGGAATAAGGTGAAGTTTGTTGAGAAGTTGCGGAAGGCGGTGGATGAAGGGAGTGGGTTTGGGATAAAGTGATGATGGGACGTTTATAGAAGTGTTGGACTATTTATTAACATATATTATTTGCTATAAAGAGAGTTTTCTGCGTGTTTGTATTCTTTTCGACAGATTTGTAGTGTATTTTATGAACCCAATTAGGTGTTTTATGTTATTCTATCATGAGCTGGAGCTTATAAGAAAAGCCGGGTATGATTGCAAAGATTGGCATGTTGAACTTAACGGAGGTTTGCAATGTAAGCGTTGTTAATAAGTATTTATGGTTCATTAACTTTCAAGCTAAATGAAAACGTCCTTGAAGTTCAACTTGTATGTAAATGCACCCTTAACTATTAGGAAGCTAGTCTTTCGTAGTTTACACCCCTGAATCTACCATTGGCTACGATTGTCAGGTCAACAGAAGTCCAAACTTCAATCTTTCGGGTATGCATGAAAGAGATGCTATGAAGCGTGAACAAAGAGAGTCTACCCAATACTTGCTCACTAATGATGAGAACATAAATGATGTTTCTTCAAAGTTGGTGCATAATTAGTAATAGAAACTGTCATAAGGTATCAATACCAATAGGTTTGTAAACGCAGCTCAGCGTCTACTTGTCTTCTTCAAGTTTCTTCCTGGCTTCTTCAGTTTTCTTTGTGTTTGCTGGGACGCAAGCTGTATAAAAACTATTGGGAAGCTCTTCATTCTTCAAACTCTCATCGAAAGCGGACCGAAACCGCTCCTATTTTTCACTCTCCCCATTCTCCCTTGCCCAGTTATTGAACAGCTTATCGGGTCGAGGGTCTAACTTATCGTATTTATCTCGATACTCTTGCTTAATTTGGGAATTCTGTCTTTTGAACTCCAATAAAAGCTTAATTCATGCACGTGAATTGAAACTTATAGATTCTGAAAACATAACACCTATAAAAATCAAATCATTCACCTTCTATTCCTATATTATTAGCGAGTTAGCTTGCATTGAAATTAATCTTGAAGTAAAGTATTAATTGCTCAGTGTTATGACTTGGAAATATTTTGCAATAGCCCATTCATAAAATCGTTCGTTGTTATTTTCTCAGTCAGTGAAAACCAAAGCAATATGGTAGCATTACATTTAAAATCCGGGTAACATTTTAGAAATGGTTAAAATTTCTAGCCAATAAAATTATGGGAAAAAACATTTACACTTTAAAAAATTAAACTTTAATATAATAATTTGTATGTTCCTGTATATTACCTACCCAACCACTAACAAATCAATCTTCGAAACATAAAGTCAATTGAAAAAAAAAATATAATACCCGTTAAAACCAAATACTACTATACATTACCAACCACTAGTCTAACTATAAAGATGTCATCCCTTGCATTCAGATCATTAAGAACTGGTTTAGGTTTAAAGAGTATGTCCATTTACTTATGAGAAATAAGAAATAGTTTCTTTCAATTTATGTATATTCAATTGAACAAAGCAGACCCCAACTAAGTTTGAAGCAGTGACCAATTATACAATTACCACCTCAACAATGTATCCTATGCCTCAAAGACACGATATATACCAATCATTCTACGAACTGCACATTATCCAATGTTTTTAATGACTTATACACTCGTTGATTGAGAAATTGATAATATTGTAAATTGAAAGAAAATTACGATTTTACCAAACAGAATAATACTAACAATTACCTTTTCTAGACTCTGTTAGATCTTTATCTACCACTGCATCTACCTTATCCAACTACCAACACCCAGATTATTCCACCTATGTGAATGACAGAAGTGACACCACCAGAAGAAACTTCACCTACTTTATGGTTGGTTCAATGGGTTTATTATCTGCTGCCGGTGCCAAATCCACCGTTGAAGCCTTCCTTTCCTCCTTCGCTGCCTCTGCTGATGTTTTAGCCATGGCCAAGGTTGAAGTCAAATTAAGTGCTATTCCAGAAGGTAAAAACGTCATTGTTAAATGGCAAGGTAAACCAGTTTTCATTAGACATAGAACTCAAGATGAAATTGATGAAGCTAATCAAGTCGATATCAAAGTTTTAAGAGACCCAGAAACTGATGCTCAACGTGTTAAGAAACCTGAATGGTTAGTGATGTTGGGTATTTGTACTCATTTGGGTTGTGTTCCTATTGGTGAAGCTGGTGATTTCGGAGGTTGGTTCTGTCCTTGTCATGGTTCTCATTATGATATCTCCGGTAGAATTAGAAAGGGTCCAGCTCCATTAAACTTGGAAATCCCAGCTTATGATTTCACTGATGATGAAACCTTACTTGTTGGTTAAGCAAGCCCCCTCACTCTGTACATGTATTAAAAAAAATGAACATCCTCCACCACCCTTTTTCCATTCTCATATACAATTCATATGTGTTGGTTATACAGAACATTAAGCTAAAAGTATAGTTAACTCATTTATTTTATATATAATAAATATAATTATTATTCCGTTTTAAATAAAGTATAAAAAGATCTATGTATGTATAAAGCATTAGATAAAAAAGCAACCACTCACTATTTCTTTACAATTCTGGATTCTCTTCAAGCATAGCTGACAATTCATCGGGTATAATCTTCCATAAATCAGCATTCCAATCATGCTTAATCTTATGTATAGTTAAATTCTCCGAGTATCTTTGAACATCACTAAAATTGAACCCCTTATTAAAATGCAGCAACAGTTGTGCAAATTTTTCCCCTAATAAACCCTCTCCCTTTGGCAAATTTGTTGGATTGTAATCCAATACATAATGAAGTCGATAAAAGACACTCCAATGAAGTAAGCAACTAAGAGGAAGTACTCGACGATTACCAAAATTCGGTGTATACACTCTTCTCCATTCTCCCGAAGAATCTTCAATTTTAGCAAAAATTGGTAATAATTCTAAAATCCACCAGCAAAAGGTGATCCATAATGGAGTTGCTCCTCTTCCATTGAATCTATGGACTGGTGCATTTGGAACTGGAACTTTGGGGGTTTCATCTTCTTTCTTGATCTTTTCGATTTTCATTTGATATTGCCACGCATCAGGGAATAATGGTTGGATAGATAAAGCATCATGATGGAAAGATAAAAGACTCAAAGTTGATGGAAACTTCTTGTCAAACTCATGAATTGATCCCGATTTGAAAACAACGCCGAATTTAACCGCTTGCGATAACATCCATCTCATGGATACGTTTGACAATACTTGATCATGCTTTGCAGTCCATCCACCACCGATATCAGCATGATCACCAGGAAAGAACATTTCAACAAGGTCATCAATTGGACTAATTTGTTTTCTATTATTCTTTCTACCATTTCTCTTTGTCCAAAACAGAAGAATCTCACTGAATGATTTAATCGAAAGAAACAGGGTTGATGTACTTATACTTGAGTGGCAAGTACTACAACTCATATCTTGTTGAACCTGATCATTTTCAGGAGAAATGAAAAGCTGGGGTTTCAATTTTGCTCTACGTTCATCAATACTTACAGCATGTCTAATATGATCAACATTTGAATTTCTGACCGAATAAGGAAACAGTCTATCAATTAAGAACCCAACGGAATTGATTGAATCCCAAACTCCCATGAAATGAATTACGACATCTGGTTTTGAGAATGTTTTCTTGAATTCCAGGGCAAATGTAACTGCTGGATCATCGTCGAATGGTTGTCCTGCTTTTTCCCAATTGGAATAGATTTGCCATGCCATAGGGNACTGCTGGATCATCGTCGAATGGTTGTCCTGCTTTTTCCCAATTGGAATAGATTTGCCATGCCATAGGGATCATATCTTCTAAACCTTTGTTGATTAATCCTACTTGTTCTATCATACCTGCTATAATTCGTGCTGTGAAACTCCCCCGACTACATATGTAGATGTTAGTACATTTAATCAATTTCTAAATTAATTCAAAGTAATTCATACCTAAACCCAAAAAGAAAGATCTTATCTCCTCTATTATAAAACCTGGCAAGAAATCCATATGCCGCCAACACATGTTTCTTAATCGTAAATGCAATCATCGAATCCACTCTATTTGAAAGATGATTAACATTTGACATTTCAAAATGACGACGTCCAACATTATCAGCCATAAAAGAACTTCCAATCCCTGGTTGATAATAGCATAATTGACTAGGATTATCTTTCTCTAAAGTTCGAAATAATTGAAGAACATTGGTGAATGGTTTTGGACCAAAATCATTATCTGTTCCATCTAAACAAAGGATTAGATTCTTATTGGGGGATAATTCTTTTTCTAATCCGGAGAGCTTGTTGGTTAGGTCTTCTATTGTATATTTCTTATCTCGGAATTGAATGATTGGTGTATCTGTTGTCATTCTTACTGTGCTGGTTGAGGGTGATAACTTGGCGGTTAAAGATTGAATTGCTGCAAAAAAAATATCCCCCTAAATTATTGAATTGGCGAAAAATTGAGCAGAGAAACAAAGCAATTTAATATAATATAAATAAACTATAATATTCTACATAAAGAAATACATAAGAGATATTAACTAATTAGCTAATAATTAATACAACAAAATACATTACATAATAATATATACCTTCTTCTAAACATCAAAGACTTCAATTTTAGCCTTTGCGTTCTTAGTAGCAGTAACAACACAAAACAAACTCTTCCCACTATCAGGTTGAATCTCACAAGGTAATCCAAAACATGCATCCTTCTTATCGCAAGTAATTCTAACACCAAAATTTGGTTTTTCATGATTAAAATCATCTTGATATTTAGGATTCCAACCAACTGTAACAAAAGTACTCCCTGATTTATCCATATTCATACCAGCAACATATGGAGACCAATTTCCTTGTGCCTCAGATTTCGTACCCCAAACACAAGCATCCGTAGTCGAAATACCTGGTGCATTAATATAATAATGAGCACCGGTACTTGCCCAATAACTTGGACCAGGAACAGCTAATACCTGAGTCAGTTTACCCGCACAATTTGTTGGGATCAACATTGCTTCATTACCAGGTAGGACAGTTTGACAAAATGCGACATTCTTGTCAGCCTTATTATCAATACTGACAGTACCTTCTCCATCTACACATAACGGCCTGTCTCCGAATGGAGTGGTGACTTTCCCATCTTTGTCACATTTCAAACCACCATTCATGGAGGCAGGATATGTATATGCCTTCGCATCTGGATCCCATTGATTCATTAATTGTCCCGGCGGACAGGCGTAAGGGCAATATTTCCCAGGAGTGCATGGTTCATCTGGACTCATGGCCCAGCCTCCGTTTAGGGTAGATTTTGAGACTGCGACGAGACCAGAACCCGATGGAAATTGACAAGTTTCGATGGATCGTTTGTCAACGATGATTGGGGTGGCTGTGATGATGGGAGGAATAGCTACTAATGCTAAAATTGTGAAGATATATTTAACCATAATAAAGGAGTGTGAACTTAAATGAGTGACTAATAGTAGATTTGTAAATATAATAGCTTTTTAAAAGAATGAATAGGTTAGCTTCTTATTTAAATGAAAGACTTATAGTTAGTTGATTTCCAAGGGTATCTGAGATATAGACCAGAAGAGTGACAGACTTCAGGGATATTTATATCTATAAAAGAGTATTGTGGGACGTCATTTTCAGTCTTAGCATTGTACATATTGGCTGATTCGTGAAACATGAAATGCATATGTAAGTCTAAATGACTAAGTGTTTTTGTAAAAACTTGAATCATTTTTGCATATAACTTCTAAACTAACCCGTAAAGTGTGGATACAATGAGCATATTAGGTTGCAAAATAATATCAAAACTATAAAATATTCGCTAGCCTAACTTAGCGAGAAAATAAAGAAACGACGAATCAAACTATAAAAAGAAACAACTAAAACAACCCCCCATATACTAACTGAACCTGGGTTCATCCTATTCTGGGACGAATGTACGTGTAAGCATAATAAGGTACAGACCAGCCACATGCCAGAGATAACTATGTCATACCGTCAGTATATAAATTACCTAACTAACAAAAAAGAAAAGATCTATCGACGCAGATTGCAGATTGGCACACCAAAAATAGATAAACGTTTTATTTTGCGAGTGTCTCTTAATAGAGATAGTAGCAGGTGGGGTACATTACTTTACTTCCATGGAGATAGGTTGCTGAAGTATACTTTTTGAATGATATCATTATGAGATTTAAAGGGGTCCTGATAGGTTGAAATGGTGTTTTTCGTATTTTTTGTTGGTTAGTATGCAGAAGTTTTAGATGTTTTCATGCAGTTTGATCTGAAAAGGATTAGATAATGATGCAAGGGGGTGGCGGAGGGGATCCAGAAGTAAACGTGTTCTTACTATATCTGATTCGTAATTCCCATGGTTACAGCATCTCTTTATTTGGTTTAACTTAAAGGAGCCAGCCAGACTTACTTACCTATTACTGTACTTGTCTCACTCACCAGAAAAAATATTTATTGTCTCAGTCTCTCAATCTCTCTCAGTGAAAAAAATCACCCATACAAAAACTCTGTTGCCACAACTTTATCTGGGGAGAACGTAAAGACATATTCTTCTAGAAACAACCACAACGCATCAACGCACTTAATCATGAGTGGATCAATCGTACGAGCCCAAAATTGGGACAATGGCTACGAACAACAATTCGTAGCCGTGAACCCCATGGGAGATGAAGTTCTCTTATATCAAACCAATCATGAAGATCCAGGTATCGAATCAAATGGAATGATTCAAATTAATAATCGAACTGGATTTGAAAATATCCAATGTTCATCATATTCAAATCTCAATAGAGGAATTGTTGGTGTGGGGAGTATAAATGGGACAATATCAATTTTTGATATAAATTCAGCAACGTCTTCAATTTTATATCTTAATCCAAAACAAAATCGTCCATGTAATGTAATTTCATTCAATAATAATAATTTAATCCTTGCAGGGTTTGATAAAGGAAGACAAGATAATTCATTACAAATTTGGAATATTGAACATTATTCACATACTGGTAATAATTCTCATATTAAAAGACCTTTGTCTACATATTTACCTAATGAAGCGATTTTATCAGCTACTTTTTATCCAGAGAGTCATTCAAGTATAATATGTGGGTCTTATAAATTCTTACGAGAGATTGATCTTCGTTCTGATCAACCGGTATTCCAAATGGCTACCAAATGTACCCTTGGGTTAAGTATTGATCATTTTCAACATCATTTCTTCCAATCATTCAGTGAAGATGGATCGTTAGCCATCTGGGATAGACGTAAACTCACTTCATCAGGTGCATCAACCACTGGTGGTGCTGGTACAGCAGGACGATCGAAAACCTTATCTTCAGGAAATGTCATCACCGAAACTCCAATTCTTCAATTCAATAAACTATTAAGTGATTCATCCTCAAGAAAAATCCAACATCCATGTGTCCGCTATTCCACTGTCCGAAGAGGTGAATTTGCCGCCGTCTTTAATGGAGATTTAATCCGTCGTTGGCATACCAGTAAAGTACCTGCCAATTACAATATCCCCATCATAACCGACCCCCAATCATCATATCGTTTCAGTCAACAGACTACATTACAAAGTCTAAAACAACAATCGGCACAATTGTATAAACCAAATGAAGAATCGCTTTTTGTGTCGATGGTACTTGATGTCAAAACCGATTATGAACGCGTGGTTTCATTTGATTATTCTCCTGATATTGCCCTGCATACATCCACGAACTTTGTATGTATGAGGCAATCAGGGTCGGTATTTAGGATGCCCGTGGTTGAATGTATTGAAATGTTAGATTTTAATTGTATTAATGAATTCTCAATTGCCGGTCCGGAAGGAACAATGACGAATTTTTTAGAAAAACAATATATTGAACCCAGACAACAACAACAAGGCGATGTTCAAATTAGGGATAAAACTTCCATCTCGAGACTCGGGGATCTATCACTCACTCCAAGACAACAACATCAGCAAGATATGAGAAAATTAAGTGAGGCTGATTATTCCGAAGATGTTTCTTCTACAGTTGATGACGAGAGTGTGAATGATCAAAACACAAACACCACCACCACTCCACGAGGCGGGACCAAGACTAGTTTGCATCATCCTTCTCATAAGCGATATTCATACGATGATGAAATCCCATTCAGTGCCCTACTTGACCCTTCTGATATAATCAGTGGTGATATTTGTGTTACAATCCGTCATAGGGCCCAATTGGGCTACGGATTAGATTGTGATGTGAATATATCAATCTTGGAACAAATTGATTCGATGAATAATCAATTATTTTTAAAAAATACTTGGAAATGGTTAAGTCTTGCCAAAATCTCCCTTGAGAAGGGGACTATGATTTCAGAAGGGATTGATTTAGGATATCAAGGGGTGTTAGGAATATGGAAGGGAGTAGATGAATTAACATATCAAAGAAGAACTCTCCCTAATGCCGGTCCTATAAATGAAGGTTGGTTCGCTAGTGCCGTGAAGGCGATTGTTTCGAATAAAGGGAAAAAAGCAGCCAATATAACCATCCCTAGTAATAGTGAGAAAAAAGCACAAAGGAAATTATGTTTGATTGTTTCTGGATGGTATTTGACTGATTCTGAATTTGAAGAAAAATTGAAATTGTTGATTACGTTGGGATATAGTGAAAAAGCTGCCGGATGGGCTGTATTCCATGGCGATGTGCCCAAAGCGATTGAAATATTGGCTAGTTCGAAGAAGGAACGGTTGAGACTTATGGCAACTGCCGTGGCGGGATATTTGGCCTATAAGAATTCTAATAGTAACAGTCCTTGGAAAGATCAATGTAGGAAGATGGCGTCTGAATTGGATGATCCTTATTTGAGAGCTATATTTGCGTTTATTGCCGATGATGATTGGTGGGATGTATTGGATGAACATGCGTTACCCTTGAGAGAAAGATTGGGAGTTGCATTGAGATTTCTTTCTGATAAAGATTTAGGAGTATATCTTGATCGAATTGCTGATACGGTTGTTAATAAAGGAGAATTAGAGGGGTTGATATTAACGGGTTTAACTCCAAAGGGGATTGATTTGTTGCAATGTTATGTTGATAGAACTAGTGATGTACAAACTGCAAGTTTAGTTTCTGCCTATGCATGTCCTAGGTATTTTAATGATGATAGGATAACTCATTGGGTTGATTGTTATCGAAATTTATTAAATAGTTGGGGGATGTTTAAAGAAAGAGCTAAATTTGATGTTTCCAGAACCAAATTTTCCAAGAATTTCGTTGGACAAACCACGATTAAAGCAACTCCAAAACAAGTATATTTACAATGTTCAAGATGTAATAAAAACATGTCAAAATTTAAATCAACTACAATTAATAATCAAACATTAATGAAACAATTTACGAAATCAAATCATTCTAAACAAGTTACGAATGAAATAATTAGTTCATGTCCTCATTGTGGTGCTCCATTACCTAGATGTGCAGTATGTTTATTATCATTGGGTACTCCATTACCATTTGAACCAAGTGAGAAACTTAATGAGAATTCATTGGCCAATAAGATTGAGAATAGATTTAGAGAATGGTTTAGTTTTTGTTTGACATGTAATCATAGTTGTCATGCTTATCATGCAGAAGAATGGTTTTCTAAACATTATGTTTGTCCTGTACCTGATTGTAATTGTCGGTGTAATAGTAAGTAAGTGAGAATATAATCGCGTATTTTCTATTTATTTGCGTGTGGTTCAGCCTCACACAAACAAATAAATTTAAATGACTGTTTTAAACGAAAGTGTGAGTATAGAAATAGAAAATAAATATTATACAAAACAGTTAAGTAAAAACAAAGTAATAGTTCATGTAATGTTATTTATAATACATGAAACATATAAAAGGTAGTAAGAGCTATAGGTTAGAAGATGGCCTGTAGAAGAAATAGAAGTCACATGATATTAAATTATATAAATCTGATTTAGTTTCCATATTAAGCTGATCTTAATTAATGTTTATTTTTTCTCTTTGGGCTGAACAATAATAATAATATACACACCAAGAATACTTTATACGCCATATCATAGTAATAAACTCAACAACCCCCTTTCAAAATTAAATATTTATTAGCTTTTGTCTTTCTTTATAATTTAATTTATTATTTCAACACACACACTAACCATTGCAGTTAGTTAGTTACTTTCTCTCTCTCTTGGGTTAATTTAACATATGTATTATTACTAATTAATATAACAGACAGATACAGTGAAATAATCTATAAATAACAACATATTAATTACATATAAATTAATAATAGGCCATACGAAAATAATTTTTTTTTTTTATCAATTGACGATTTTAATTTTACAACCAACTAAAAAAAAAACATTAACTTAAGAGTTTTCCATCCACCATTTTTTTTATTATTATTTCAACTTACACTTTTATCAGTAGTGATCAGTTGTAAGCATAGAATAAATTTCAATCAATCTCAGTCTTGTCTATTCAATAAGAAGAAGAAGAACAAAGACTCAGCAGCAGAATGTCACAACAAAAGACTGCTGAATTGATTAAGGATATTACATCCAAAATTGAAGTTGAAAAGAATTTGGTATATGGTTATCAACAAGTTAAACTCAAATCTAATAATGCTGAAGTTCTTCAAAAATGTAATACTAAAATTATAGAATCTCAATCAATTATTGATTATTATCAAGAATCTTTAGATAAATTAATTAAACAAACTCAACAATTAAATATAAGAGGTGGATCTTTACAATCAAATGATTCTCGTGATAATAACAATAATAACAACAACGACAATAATACTCTCCAGTATCATCAAACCAGTAGTCCTGTTTCATATTCAAGATTTGATTTAATTAAATATGATTGTCCTTCTTTAAGTCATAAAATTCAACATATGTTACAACAATTAGAATTTAAATTACAAGTTGAAAATCAATATAAAGAAGCTAATCAAAAAATGTCTCAACTTTATTTAATGGATGGTGATAAATCTTCAAGTATTGCTGCTGAAGGTGGTAGAACTGAAAGTAATCAAAGAATTCAATTATTAGAAAAATCGTTAAAAAAATATACCAATATTAATATTAATACTGAAGAATTTTCACGAGATTTTGAATTATTAAATACTCCAAAACATGCAAGAAAACCTTCCCGTGGTAGATTAACAATTTCGATTACTTGTGTTAGAGATGTTGATCATATTGCTTCAACAATGTTGAAAAAAAGAGAAACTTGTATTGTAATTAAAATTGATGACATTGAAAAAGGTAAAACAAAACTTTCAAAAAATGATAAATGGAATGATGAATTTATTATTGATGTTGAAAAAGGTCATGAAATTGAATTTTCTGTTTTAGATAAACAAGGTACTAATTTTATTCCTGTTGCTCTTAATTGGTTATTAATTTCTGATATTGCTGAAGAAATTCGTAAAAAGAAAGTAGCTAATGATATGAATTCTGGTTGGATGACTGCGTCACATATGCAACAACAACAACAACAAGCAGACGATAAGAGATCTAATACCACTGGATCTCCTATGGGGGCAAAGTTCAGTTCGACCCAACCGTTACCTCCTCACAACGATGCGACACTACCACCTCCACCTCCACCGCCATCCTCCTCTACTTCAGGACAAGAATCTAATGGAAATGATCAAAAGGTTCAAATCAATACTTGGATAAGTTTAGAACCATCAGGACAAATGTTACTTAGTCTTAATTTTGAAAAAGATTCATCTCAAAATAGACAATTTAGAGGTGCACTTGGACGTCATGGTGCCATTCGTGAAAAGAAAGAAGAAGTGTTTGAACAACAAGGACATCAATTTGTTCAAAAACAATTCTATGGAATTATGTGTTGTGCCTTATGTGGAGAATTTGTTAGATATAGTGGGTTCCAATGTCAAGATTGTAAATTCTTATGTCATAAAAAATGTTATCAAAAAGTTGTTACAAAATGTATTTCAAAATCTGGTATGGCTGATGATGAAGCCAAATTAAAACATAGGATTCCTCATAGATTTGAAGCAGTTGCTAATCATGGGGCAAAATGGTGTTGTCATTGTGGATATATTTTACCATTTGGTAAGAAGAATGTTCGGAAATGTACTGAATGTGGAGTTATGTGTCATACTCAATGTACTCATTTAGTTCCAGATTTCTGTGGAATGACTATGCAAATGGCAAATCAAATCTTATCAACCATTAAATCAACCAAAGTTTCCCCGAAGAAACCTCTCCAAATTAGTCGTCCATCATATACCCCTGGCTCTACTACCACTCAATTTTCTAAACCGGAAATGTCTCCATTATCACAAACATTCCCTCCACCTCGTCCATCTGGAGAACATTCTATTTCTGATGATGAACACGAAGATGATTTGAAATTACCTACTCATACCCAAAATAAATTTCAATATCCAGTTGAATTCCCAGAACAACAATTCGCTAACAAACCACGTCCTGCTCCAGCTCCTCCTGGTGAGTCTGATCTTAGTTTTGATACTAGTTATATTAAAGAACAACAAGATTTCGATTTTGGTAAACAACCTTATCCTGCCTATGAGTCGAGAAAACCATTGTTTCAACCGATTGATGAAGATGTAAGAATGGGTGAAGACCAGCAACAACAGCAACCACAAATTGATAAACGGACTCCTCAAGGTGGTGCGTTTGATGCGTTTGATTATCAGAATGTACATACTCAAGATCAAATTATGAGTGAAAAAGATGAAGGTAATGGTGTGAATCCATTCCGGGATCAAGTTGATCATGCTATGCGAATTGAAGCTCAACAACAGCAACAACATGTTCAACAGCAACATGCTCATCATCATCATGCTCATGCACATCATCACGCTCGTCAAAAAGAAGGATCTAGAAAAGTTAAAAAACGGAGAAAGAAGGTTGGATTGGATGATTTTGAATTTTTGGCCGTATTAGGAAAAGGAAATTTTGGGAAAGTTATGTTGGCAGAATCAAGATATACCAAAAAATTATGTGCAATTAAAGTTTTAAAGAAAGATTTTATTGTTGAAAATGATGAAGCTGAAAGTGTTAAATCTGAAAAACGAGTATTTTTAACTGCAAATAAAGAAAAACATCCATTTTTATTAAATTTACATTGTTGTTTCCAAACTGAAAATAGAATCTATTTCGTCATGGAATATATCTCGGGTGGGGATTTAATGTGGCATATCCAGAAATCAAGATTTACTGCCAAACGTGCAAAATTCTATGCTTGTGAAGTCTTACTCGCTTTGAAATATTTCCATGAAAATGGAATCGTATATCGTGATTTAAAATTAGATAATATCTTACTCACAACCAAAGGACATATCAAGATTGCCGATTACGGATTATGTAAAGAAAACATGTGGCATCGTAGCACAACCTCAACTTTCTGTGGTACTCCTGAATTCATGGCCCCTGAAATCGTAGCCGGGAAACCATATGATCGTAGTGTCGATTGGTGGGCATTTGGTGTCTTGTTATTCCAGATGTTGTTATGTCAATCTCCATTCAAAGGTGATGATGAGGATGATATCTTTAATGCCATCGAGCATGATGAAGTCAAATATCCTATTAGTTTATCAAGACAGACAGTGTTGGTCTTACAGGCATTATTGACCAAGGATCCATTGAAGAGATTGGGTGGTGGTCCTAGAGATGCAGAAGAGATTATGGAACATCCATATTTCCATGATGTTAATTTTGATGATGTATTTCATTGTAGAATTGAACCACCTTATTATCCTGAGATTACTAGTGAACATGATTATTCTAATTTCGATCAAGAGTTTACTTCGGAGACTCCAAGATTGACCCCGGTCGAGACTGAACTTACGGCGGAGATGCAAGAACAATTTAGAGGATTTTCTCATATTTCGGAAGATGCTGTCATTTATGAAGATCGTGTTATGTAAGGGGGAGTGTGTAAGTGCTTACTAGTAATAGTAGTAAAAATAATTGTAATTTAATAACCATGGAACATAAAAGTAACATTTAGTAAACTCTATATAACTAATAATAAATAATAATAATAATATACACGTATTTATTGAAATTCCCATTCCTCCAATAAATTTCTCTATAACTTTCTCTCTATTATGCAAATTACTGTATGTAGATGTATGTTTACACAATCACACAGCATCCAGAACTATGCTTCTTCCTCTCATCTTTAAGCTCTCTGGTATAATGTCGTTCATTTCTTTCAGATGCACTAGAATCTAATTTCTTAATCTTAGGATGAGTCGTATCTTCCATAAATTCCTTTCCAATCGCATTCTGCTTCTTTGTAGCTTCATTCTTATTTTGCAGTAATGAAGCTTTTCGATTCTTCTCGGTTTCGGCGCGTTTAGCCTGTTTCTTCTTTTGTTTTATATGCCCCTGTGATTCATCTGAAGCAGTATAGTCGTCACTCATAGTCGTAGACACCACCAAAGAAGGACAATGCGAAGTTTGCTCGGTTATGGCACTCGTTAGATTAGTTTTCAGCGGGATAAGATTCACAACCCGACTAGCCTGACTTTCAAGTGCTTTAGTAATTATCGGGAGGAAAGCTTCTTCTATATTTGTACCTTCTTTGGCTGAACATTCGATAAATGAAACTGCACCAATTTGTTCAGCAAACTCTTGTCCATCTTGCCAGGACACTTGTCGACAAGTATGTTGAAGATCTGATTTTGTGGCGATGATGGCGATGGGGGGTATATCTGGACGAATTGTTTTGAATTGGAGCATGATATCATGTAGGGCCAAGAATGAATCCATATCATTTATGGAATATACAAGAATTATGTTGTTTGTGTTTAAGATCTGTTGTCTACGACTATTATTGTATAAGTCTAGTTCTGAACTACTGTCAAGGATTGAGACTTCTGAATATCGATTAAGAAATCTTAGGCTTTTTGTATGTAGTTCTTCAACACCTGAAGTTGTGGATTCAACAAATTCGTCATATAGATAATGTAATACAAGACTGGTTTTACCGGTTTGGGCTTGTCCTAAGACACATATATCAAACTTATCTTTTAATACTTGAGAACTATCTTGATAACTCATACTAGTAGTAGGAGTGGTGTGATTTTTATAAATAATTTTTGATGCAACTTTAAAATGACGATACTGATCGGAAAACTTGTTGATTTTTCCAGTGTGGTTACTAACTATGGCTGTGGTTTTTCCGTTGACACTTTTGGAGTGTATGTAAGAATTAATTAATGCAAGAAACAATGAAGGTTTGGTGAACTTTCTCTACAATAAAGACAATACTTTGATGAATATATAATAACGATAAACTTTTGGGAAATGGGACAGAATAAACGTTATAAATAAAAAAAGGAGAAAAAACAAGAGAAAATTAAACTTTATTTAAATTGTAAACTAAAAAGGGAGAAGAGTTGAAAAATATGCAACAACAACAACAACAGGAGACTATACGGAAATATTTTTTAATTAAACGTTCAACTTGCAGATGTGTGAACGATTTTTTTTTTAAATTAAAAAAATATTAGTCACGGAAAAGTACATTAAAATTCCATCAAAACAAACCTGATCATTTTGTACAATAAACTCATAAAACCGTATCCATTAGTAGGTTACACTGCATAAACATGTAACCGTACTTACAACTAAAAAAAAATTAAATTTACGTACTACACATGGTCATCTCATTTAACAGCCCATCTCCTAATTTAACTACTTCAACTACACCGCATATCTGCTCCGATGGGCTTTGATGATTGTTTGCCGCCGTCTTTACTCTATGTATGTATGGCTCATAAAAGATTATGTGCCAAAAGAGGGGTATAATAGCAACATATCTGTCAAGAAAGAAATGGTACAGCAAACCAAAAAGCCCCATCTGTCACTTAGCGCAACAAGGTCACAATAAAAAAAACTGTTCTTTTAATTCGTTTAATGTGGTTTGCCTTTGTCAAGTCTTCACCTTCCACAAAATAATATTTTTTTAGCAAGTTTTTTCAATTGCCGCAAATTTCTCTGATATGCGACACGAATGCCCCTTTATGTATTAGTGCAAAATTAAAAAGTGATGACCTGTCATTCAATTTGTACGATTATTTAATGTAATAGAAGTCATTGCTATACGACCGACCCTCATCTTGTAATTACATCTGGAATTTAAGGTTATTTATGTTTGCGTCTTTATCATTTTCGTCTACGTTTGTTTCCATATATTGTTAAAATGAAATTACAAGGCCATTGAATATTAAATCAACCCCCATAGAAAAAGAAACTTAAACAAAGAAATGGAACATCAGACTTTTAAAAAATATTGGAATTTCTATCCCTTGAAAACAACAAAATATAAAAACGGTTTTAACGTTTTTTTAAACACAAAGTAGAAAATATTTTATTTTTTATGCAATACGACCATTGCGGAAAAAAAAGAAATTCATGATGAAAAGAAAAAAACCTTCCGAGTTTTAGGTTTTGTATATTTCCTCATCTCTGAAACTCTAAAAAATCTTTGCGAGATCTGAGTGAAAACAACGTGAGATCTGCGGAAAAATAAATATCTCCATATTTCTCGTGCCTTAGCTCATCTCGATCGGCTGATAGTATTTCTAAAATTAGTTATGACGTTCGTTTTCTGGGCAAGACCTCGTTGTCATAAAACCGACAGCCTGCCGGAATCACTACTAGATTGAGAATGAACACAAATGGTACGTTAATATAAATATATATTACTTTAATTATTAAAACTCTATTTAACTATAGTCCTCATCGTCAGAATTTAAATATTGAGAATAATCATCAGCGGATGCAAAAATAGGCAAGTCCTTAAGTTTGGCCTTCTTAGACATCTTTTTGTTCTTACTATCATCATCTTTATCTTCTCTAGAACGTTTATTCTTGGTCTTCTTTGGTTTTTCTATTATTTCTTCAGATTCACTTATATCAGAGAAATCAACATCATCTCCCAACATTTTAATTTCAACTTCAGAATCACTCAATTCGTCTTCTTCATTAATTCCAAACATTTGACCTTCTTCTTCATCGAAATCATCTTCAATTTCTTCTTTAGTTTCTTCGACTTCAGATTCTTCTTCCTCGTCTTGGACTTCTTCAGAACCTTCTTCTAATTCTTCCCCTTCTTCAACTTCTGCTACTTCTTCTTCCTCATCATCATCCATATCAAAGTCAGAGAAATCTTCTTCACCAAAAACATCAGACTCTTCATCAGAAGCATCCTCGACCTCAGGTTTCGACTTAACCAAAGCCTTCCAAATCTCATCATCCGCCATCTCTTCAACTTCTTCTTCATCCAATTCTTCCTCCCCTTCTTCTTCTCCAGTCTTCTTAGCCTTAATCTTATTAATCTTGGTAGTAAAATATTGATGGAAAAACTTTTCATCCGGTTTAATTTCTTCCACTTTTCTATTCAACCAATTCTCAGTATTCGCAGGCACATCAGTATCCAACACACCAGTAGCCCTAACCAATAAGGAACCAGTATGGGCCCCTCCTAAAGGTTGCATAATCGAAGAACCCTTAGTTTGTGGTTTTTGTTTCGAGTTTTTATAAACGAATCTATCTAAGAAATGGGATAATGTGTATAATCCTAAATCAGGTTTTGCTTGTTCGGTACCTTCGAGTAATGAGGAGGCATAGATTGAGATGGTTGGGTGGTAGTGGGTGAGGAATTGGTTGAGTTCCCATAAGGATGATTTATCGGCATTCGCGAATCTTGGATCACGTTTCTTGGGGTCATATTCTTGATCATCTGATTTAGATGGTTGCTCGACCTGTTTTGAATCTTCATCGACTTCTGGTCTGGATGCCATATCGATCATTAGGTCGGAGATTTCGGGGAATGTTTTGGATAATTCGATTAATAAATATAACATACCGGAAATAGAACCAATATTTAACCAATGACAACAAATTTGTAAAATTCTTTTAACAAATGATAAAACTCTTGGTTTATTTTCAGTATCATTTTTCAACGATTTAAATAATAAATTCAAATAAATACCTTGTTTGGAAGAAGTTGCCAATCTTGGATCTAATAAAGATTCATACAAGGTTCTATAATATCTATCTGAATTCAATCCTTGTTGAGTGATGATATGATTAACCAAAACAAGAGCTTGAATAGAAGTATTAAAATTACTACTATGAGTAATCTTAAATAACGTATCTAAATGAGCTTGGAATACATCATTAGGTAAATTAGCAAATGGGAAAGCACGATTTAAACCAGTTAATAAAGCTGAGAATAAACGAGTATTCTTTTCTTCTATTATTTCTTGTTCTGATTTGACTTCAACTTTAACTGATTTACCACCCTTTTTACCCTTCTTGAAATTCTTACGGTTGTTCTTTCTTCCTTTGGTGGATTCGCCTATTTCGTTTGTTTTGGTACCGGTTTCTTTATTGTTGGCATCATTTTCAACTAAAATCTTTTCAAAAAGTGCAAAATAGGTTTTGATTAATGAATTGGCTAATTCATCTTCTCTTCTGGTTAAAATAGTTTGATTTAAAGTGGTAATAGCATAATATTTAGCATGATCGTCACTATTAGCCTTGAATACAATATCAATAACCGCATCACTAATGATTTTCTTCATAGCTGGATGAACTTGTTCTAATTGCAAGATTTGATAAGATGCTTTAGCAGCAACTTTATTGTCAGCATCACCTAATTTATTAACTCCTAATTTCAATAAATTGGCTTCTTGTTCAGGCTTGGCTTTCAATAAGTCAAAGATATGATTAACGACATTCATTCTAACATGAACAATTGGATCATGAGATAATACTTCCAAGATGGAAATCAATTTGAAATATGCCTTCTTTAAATGATCTTCGAAATAATATACTGCTAATTCAACATCTGATGAATCTTTTCTTAATGGTTGTTTATCAAATGCAAATAATTTTCTATCTGGTAAAATACCATTTAATAATAAATCCTTTAATGCATTGATGGATTGTAAAGCGGCAGTTCTTGATTTCTTTTCACAATATGATAATAAAGTATCGAATGCCTTAAGATTATGCATAGGAGCTTCTTGGACTAACAAAGTCAATGCAGAGATTTTATCATTCAAAGTACCATCAGCTAAAATTTGGGACAAGAACTTCTTTTGGGAATTATTAGATGTGAATTCTTCCAAATAGGTTTTGTTATCTTTTTCAATCACGGTTTTGGCTCTTTCTAATAAACGTTCTCTAGCATATCTATCTAATTTTTCTGGGGTTTCTTTTGGTTTATCGAATGGAATATTATACCAATCAGTACGACTTGGAATTGCTAATTTTGCACTTGAAACCATGGAGAAGTCTGTTACTTTATCTGAATCTTGAGTTTTTTCTTTCTTGTTGTCAACCTTAGTTTCCTTAACGACGACTTCATCTTCTTCCTCATCTTCTTCCTCTGATGATTCCTCTGATTCGCTTTCTTCCTCTTCTTCTACTTTTTCATCAGTCTCACTTTCAATCTGTTCTTCCTCTTCTTCTTCTTCTTCTTCTTCTTCTTCTTCTTCTTCTTCCTCTTCTTCCTCTTCTTCCTCTTCTTCTTCTTCTATGGTTTCAACCAATTCAGGAACTTCTTCTTCTTCTTCAACTTCTTCATCGTCAACAACCATAGCTTCTCCATTACCTAATCCTATCCCCTTCATAAAGCTACTCAAATCATCACCAAATGATTTATCCAATTTTGATCCATCATCATTAAATTCTTGTTCACTTTCTTCTCCTTCTTCAACATCTTTCAACAATTCCAAATCTTCTTCAGTTGCACCTAATGCTAATGCCTCACGACGTAAGACGTCATCTTCTTCTTTAGGTTCAGGTTTGTTGTTTGCTTGGGTATTATTGTTCTTGGTATCATTTTTAGTGTTATTCTTTGCTGCTGCTGCTGCTGCTGCTGCTGCTGCTGCTGCTGCTGCTTCCTCTTCTTTCTTATTCTTCTTGTTGTTTTTCTTCTTATTGCTATTCTTATTGGAAGCATTCAACTTGGATGAAATCTTATCCTTCAAGGAAGATAAATTCAAACCTGATGCATTCATTGGATATTATGTTTGATTTAGAGTCCTTGTAAGTGATGGATGGTTGTAAATAATTTTTCATCTAACAAAATTGGCATCTCATCTTAAAGAAAAAAATTATTTACTGCATAAGATGGTAAGAGAGAGAGAGATGGGGGTGGTCGTGTCTTGTACAAAATAGATTGGTTGCAAAAATTATGGTTACTATGAACACTGTACAATAATAATTCAAAAGGTTATAAACCTCCCATTTAATATTGTATGAAATTGTAACATTTATTTGATAGCATACATTCCTTCTTGGTTGTTAATCTGAGACGAAAGACAAGTTTGTAAATTTGTTAGTGTTAAGTACAATTTAACAGAATATCAGAGTTCTTTTAAGAAACTTTGTTAATTTTTTATCAAAACTTATGTATTTACACCAATCACGATCTAGAAAACAACACTAGCTCATTTTTTAAAAAAATAAAAGGAGGGTGGTAGATACGGCGATATGGTAGAAAGTGCTAACGAAGAATTTTACCATCTAAGATCAGTTTACTGAGTTTATAAAATCGGCATCCATGAACACTAGCAGTAGAATCTAATTAACTTATATGATCAATGCAGCAGGAATGTGTCTACTTCCAAACATTCATTTGACTGTCCCGTTTGTTAGTCTTGTCTCCAATATGTTTTGGAATAATTGGACTATTTTGTTGAAACACAAATGTCGGAGTAACTAAGAAACAATAAGAATATTTCAATTATAGCATTAAAATCATAAATCAAATAGCCACCTTTCTCAAAGGAAGTTTGTATATACTTGAAACATCACCCCCGACAGGTGCCACACAATTATCGTCGTCAAATACATCATTAGTAATCTTGGTCAGTAACCTCGTTTCTATCACACCATCAACTATTACATTTATGATGGAACTCACGGTGATTAAGTTTAAGGTTATGAAATTCGTTAAATATATCCATCCGATTGTACCATTTGGTGATTCATCTCTTAAAACAATGTTATGATATCTCCTTATGTATTCACGCAACTGAAAACCATAAAATCAAATTAGGAAATATTTTTGTTTTTAAGAATTTTCTAATTATTACGTTTAAAATTAATCAAACTCTAAGCCAATAATTTTTCAGGGATAATAACCTGATAATTCGATATACATGTACGGTACATACCACGAACAATGAAAATACAGGTGATAGATTTATAAAGTGAATGATCAAATTGTCCAGATCTAATACGTCACCTAAATCTATCAGGTTATGATCTACAAAATCTAGTACAACATAGTCGCAGTATAAGAAAAGCCATCTAAAAATAGGTTAAGATTATGATTTATAATCGCTTGTTTATCTTCTGGCCGTATTAATCTGATGATTAATAATTGCAGGTGGGGCTGAGTTTTTTTGATACCGTTTTGAAAAATTTCAATGTGTGTTGGTTGATGAATTGCAACCTCGAATGTAAGGGTTGAGTGGTGGCATGACAATTTTTAATCAAGGGGGGAAAAAGGAACGCATTAGTTTTTCCGAAATTTTCCTTCTTTTCGGAAAAATTATGATTGCACAAGATCGTTACAACAATAGAAAAAAAAATGTGTACCCGCGAGATTAATTCGGAATGATTTCTTTTATTCCCCCGAATTCATTTTGAAACTAATGCAACCCACTTTCGTGATTCAATTTAAATAGAATATTTCCCACATTTTTGGTGTTTATGGGTTCTTACCAAGGGATAAACAACTATTCAAATGACTAACAACCTACCCGAACAACAAGAACTTGTACCCGAAGACTTTATCAGGAATAGTAGACTGCTTCTGCAATCAAACTATATTCTTTCCAAGAAAAGTATTGGGACTGGTTCCTATTCAGAAATATTTGAATGTAAAAACATTCATTCACAAAGACATTATGCCGCAAAGAAATATAAAAAGAAACTAATGTATGGACTTGAACATATGTTAAAGAATGAGTTCCTTGTACTTAAATTAGTTTCAATGACCCACCCAAATATTTTATCCCTAATAGATTATTTTGAAACTGAAGATAGTTTCTATATTGTTACAGATTTGGCCAGGGGAAGTGATTTATTCCATCGGTTAGGTCAAAGTCCTGGGTTTAAACTTTCTGAAACCGATACTAGGGAAATCACAGCTGGTCTTGTTTCCGCAATAGAATATCTTCATGAACATAATATAATTCATCGTGATGTCAAAGCTGAGAATTTATTATTTGGTAATCATCAAACTAATTCTGTAATTCTTGCTGATTTTGGATTAGCAAGAGTATTACAATCAAAAGAAAAGTTATTTAAAGTATCTGGAACTTTAAGTTATATGGCTCCTGAAATATTTACAGGAAATCAAGGATATAGTTTTGAAGTTGATATATGGGCAATTGGTGTCACTGTATATTTTATGCTTTGTGGATATATGCCATTTGATTGTGAAAGTGATGAAGAAACAAAAGATGCAATCAAACATCGAAAATATTTATTTGAACCTGCAGGATATTGGAAAGGTATTTCTGCCGATGCTAAAGATTTCATCGAATGCTGTTTGAATCTTGATCCACAATCAAGAATTACTGCTTCACAATTGATGCATCATCCTTTTATTGGTGGATATAGCGCAATCAGAACTTTTGAAAGACCAAAACATCAATCTTCCCGTTCTTTATCTTCAATTTCACTTAGTACAATTTCATCCGGTGAATCATCAAATGGCTTACAGACAAGTCCATTCCTTTCTGTAGAAGCAATTGATAATTCATCCTATTCTGGTATAGCTGTGTCGGTATCTGAAGATGTTAGAATAGGAATTATACTGGGAGAAGAGTTATGTCCTACTCCAGAATGTGTATCTCAATTAACTACACCTTGCATATCTCGTGAAGGATCACATGTGAATTTGAATAATAATGGGAAGACCCTAGATGGTCGTAATAGTATTGGTACAGCAAGTTTCTTTATGTAATAGAATTGTTTAGACTAAAAGTTTAATGAAAAGTTAATTTAATGATTTCAAATTTAATTTTTTTTTTCTTCTCTGTCTCAGTCTCTCTGGTGCACCTAATATCCTGATAAACAACAACAAAACAACAACTATCAATAGAAGAAGACATCCTCTTTATAGAACACCTTCCTCATTTGTACATTACGAGGACATAAGCATCATTCCTATAACTACTACTACTGACAGTATCATTTAATTTTGATCTGGACACACTATTGTATATAAAATCACAACACAGCTGACAAATCACATCAATCTAACTAATGTTTGATTATACTTCAAAGCCAAGAGAAGAACGAGATTTCAAAGAAATATATCCTGATTTCGATGAGACTGAACAGCTACCTGTATTCATACTACACAACGAAGATGAAGAACTACTAGAAGATGAACCACAAGTCAACAACAATATCAATAACAATAGCCTAGTAAACATTGGAGAATTAAAGAAACCAACATTCACTAGATTAGAAAATATAGAACGTCCCAATCAAAACATAAAATTCTTAAAAAGTCTAACAGATTATGGATTCCAAGAACCTAATAAAGTCAACACCAAACATGTGTCAGAAACTTATATACGACCATTTCAACTCCCACCAAATTTCACATCATCAACTGAGCAATCAATAGATACAATTGAAAAACTAATAGAAAGGAAAAAGAATCTAGTTGAATATGATATGGATGAACAAGATTATGTATTCATCAAACACAGAAATTCAAACCCAGAAAATGTCATAAAAATAGCTCCCGAAATATTTGAAATCATGATGACAACCCTAGAAAATGAATGGAATAAACTTGAACATCAAATGAATTCAATGATCAGTAATTCCGGAAGCCTTAACGATACAACAGGGAAATTACTCACCATTGGCCACAATAACGCCAAATATGGTAATGATGACGGAATAGTGCCTGGATCAATGTATGACCAAAAATGTGCCGTCTGTAATGACAGTGACTGTGACAATTCCAACGCAATCGTCTTCTGTGATGGCTGTGACATTGCCGTCCATCAAGAATGTTATGGGGTGGCTTTCATCCCAGAAGGACAATGGCTATGTCGGAAATGTATGATTAATAAAACCAGACCAACCGAATGTGTATTTTGTCCAAGTACAACCGGGGCCTTCAAACAATTGGATAATAGTTTATGGAGTCATGTTGTTTGTGGATTATGGATTAATGAATTATATTTTGCTAATCCGATATATATGGAACCGATTGAAGGTATGGATAATATCCCCAAAAGTAGATGGAAATTGACTTGTTATATATGTAAACAAAGAGTAGGGGCTTGCATTCAATGTAGTAATAGAAGTTGTTTCCTGGCATATCATGTTACTTGTGCTAAAAGAGCAGGACTCTATATGGAAATGAGTAAAGGTATTAGAGGGGCTGTCAATAATAAAATGACATTGAAATCATATTGCGAGAAACATAGTCCAAGTACTTTTGATGTGGATGAGGTATTTAGGGGTATTGAAAGAACTAGGTTATTTTTCAGGGATACTAAAATATTAAATGAAGAAAATGCTAGGTTAAGTATTAGTCAGAAGACAGCCAATAAGTTGAATATATTCAAATGGAAAACCGAAACTGGAACGCCAATTGCACCTAAATTATTTTCAGATGTATTATTAGACATATTGCTACGTTTGAAAGTTCAGAACCAAACAACAATCCCAGAAGAAACAAGTAGTCAAGTCCTTGGTCTTAATCGTCTACCAAACAGAACAAAACAAGAGATTATACAAGATTTACGAGGCATTTGTGATGAAGTATGTCGATATTGGTGTCTCAAACGAGAACTCAAACGAGGTGCGCCATTAATTCGAAAGAATAATAATCTAGCAGCTACAAGTTCTATATTATATGACGGAAATTCGTTGGAGAATGAAGGAGGAGATGGATATCAAGATGAAAATAAACTCAAAGAAAAGATCAATTTCGCCAATAGTTTAATTAAAGATTTGGAAAAGTTGTCTGATATGAGTCAGAATTTATTACAGCGACAGTTATTGGAAGATGAATTAGATTTGACGGCATTTAATAGTATTGACACGGTTTATTTCCCCATTAAGACAATTATTGAAATCACATTTGATCAAATTAACAAAAGGATTGATGCAAATGAATTCTTTTATAGTTATAAACCCAGAGACTTACCAAATGCACTTTCATTAAGAGAAATTGCGGAGAAGAACTCTAAATATGGATATAACAACTTACCCGAATTACTTCAAGATGCCGATCTTCTTATATCTTCTACCTTGAAAGAGAATAAGCCAAGTACAAATATCCACAAAAAGATGAAAGTCTGGGGACGAGAGTTTAAAAAACAATTAACAGCATTGCAGAACGTGGAAAGCATCTGCCAAGAATCTCAAGGATTACTAACCCCTCCCCACATAATTGTAGACGGGACTCGTATATCTTTGAAACCAGTCGATTTCCAACAAATTGCACGGGAGAATGACCTTAGTGATGTTGATGATATAGAATTAGACGATGATAAGCAGTTGTTGCAGCGGTTTTTGGATGAATAGCCCAAACTGCGAACTCGGGTTGCTAGTTGAGTTTAGCCTTAATTTATTAGGGTTTACTAGCCTACATGTATGTGTTTATAGATTGAATGTATCAGATATAATTTTCTTCAAGATACGATCCTTCTTTTGGTGACATTGCGGATCGTATATAGAACCGAATCTAGGTCTATATCTCGTCTCGGAAAGAACCGGCTTTGAAGTGGACAATTTATAAATTTCGAGTAGTATACCGTGCTGGGCTTTGCAGTTTCTCGTTTCTCTCTGCATTACTTATATTTTTTTGTGATGTAATTATCGCCTTGAAGATTTTTCGAAAAATGAATCTACTCAGTTGCGATGCTCGGATATAGACATCCATTCGACGTGTCTTTGCGTACAGATCTAGAGTCTGACACATTCTTAATTAATACTAGCTAAATATAGATTTTCTCTTTGCACATCTTGAGCGGCTTGTTGAGAGCAAAATGTCAAACATGTGTCCAATCATACCCTGTCGTCTTATCGAGGAATTTCAGTATCTTAAGTGATTTAAATGCAAATAGATATGATATGGGATTAAGTAATTTTATTCCATGCCAAGTTGAACCATTCGAAACGAGACGCATGCAGGTCTTGCAACCGAGTCTAAAAAGAAGGTGGTTGTAGAGAGCAACAACAACTAAGTAAATAATGCTAGATCTTTTAATATTTTATTTTATTGTTTTGGATCCCTCAGTTTCTTGTCATTAAAGATAGAGAACGAAAGACTAAATAAAATTGATCCAGAAGGTCAAAGGAATCAAAAAAATAATATATTATTTTGTGTGTGCCTGTTTCAGGTCAAAACGCCGAAACGTATTTTTGCTCAATTTATATTAAAACATTCCGAAAGGGGTTATACCAAGCATTATTTTTTATGCACAAAGTAAAATTATTTTCTGTACCTGAATTTTAAATAATAATTTTTTTTTTCTTTATTCCGGAATAGCAACGCAGAAAAAAAGTCGTCTAAAACTCAAAAATAATATTTTAAACAAAGAATAAACAAAAACATCAACAATGAACGAAAAGGTACCATTTTCTTTCTTTCCACATTAGCTTTGATACAAAAACGATATCAAAGAACCAGTTTCAGAATTTTTCCAGTCTGTTTTTTTGATTTGGTTTCCTTTTGCTAATCAATTTCATTATCTTTCATGTTGATTCTTTAGAACCCTTTACATTCCTTTTAATTAATACTTATACACAACACCACCAGATACGCGAAAAAAATAGCTTATACGCGCATATTGACACACTAGATCTGTAATTCACACATATAAACTTATCATGATATCTCAAACACCAGCTACGACGCCATTACAAAACTCGGAGAACAAGAAGCTACCCTTAATAGTTGATGTTGCTCTCGACAATAATGGGAAGCAATTATATCAAGTCCATGAATCAACAAAATTATATAGAAAAGAAATGCCCAGATCTACCAATTTTACAGCTACTTGTAATGCTCCTATGGTGGATATTAATGAGGCAACTCCAATAAGGAGCCTGTTGGGAACAATGAGTCCCACGTCTGTTCCTGCTAGAGTGACATTTGAAAGTGATGATCTTGACGTTTCACCAATTTCAAGTAGAAGAGCCGGTGCTTTGTTCTCGAAAGTGAATGATCCAAGTGAGCTTGGTTTAAGTAGTAGTCTGTCGGGTACTAATGATAATGACATTTGGTCCGAGGATGTTGAACAAGCCTTTGAAGAAGTTTTGAAAATTATTCCAAAGAATGGATTGAATAAGATAAAGCTCGCTGGTAGATCTTGTGGAAGAAATGAATTGATCTCAGATTATATATTAACAAAGACTGGTAAGTTTAGAACTAGAAAACAAATATCTTCCCATATTCAAGTTATCAAAAACCTAGGACAAAACGCCGAGATTATAGATTTGATCAATGATGGACCAATTTATACATCTAAGAGAGAACAAGATGAAGCAAACAAGAAATTCGAAGATATATTTTCAAAAATCAACTTAAACAAATCACTAGGTATCAGTGAATCAATCAAGACTAGTGCTCCAACTACTGGAATGCCTCCTGCAAAAAGAATGAAGACAAGACGTAACCCAAGGATACATTTCCACAACTTCTATATGACAACAGACGATCCCTATTCCAAAAAGCCACTTATTTTATCCATACAACCAAGTAATGAAGATGTCCAATGTTTGAGGCTAAAGAATAACGTAAACATGTCTAACAGGTTTCCAGGACTAGATGAATTCAAGAATTGTTCTGATATTCCAATAATTCATAACATGGTAAAATTGGTACTCGGTAAAGTACCTGAAGGTTTTAGTATTGGCTCTGGTTTTAAGTCTACCTTTAGTTTGAAAAGCGATGATCCTTCTGGATCCTCAATTCAATTGAATTCATTTAATAATATATGTTCATATGGAAAACAAATTTTAAAATTCAATCAAACCGACATACACTTCAATGTAGAGCAAGATTTCTTAATACTGTTCTGGAAGAGATTTTTAAATGGATTAGCAACCAAGAGTGAATTACAAAAAGCCTCAGCATTTAAGGGATTAACCATAAAGCAAATCTTATATGAAGCTGGTCCCACAAGTATTAAACACGGAGAAGATGCTAGTTTAATTGCTAAACTGAAAATTAAATGTGTTATACTCTGGGAATTTGCCAAAGTTAATGAATTAAAAGATGCCATAACTACAACCTCAAACTTAATCTTACCTTCCCCTCAAATCACCGCACCTAATGACAATATAGTTTCTCAAGTATTTAACCATAGTTCTACAACGATGCCTCCCATCCTGAATCCGAACTGGTCAGTCGCTACTGCGAATTCAACATTCTCAACCGCCCAATCAGCAGCCGCATCCCAACTAAATACAGCTAGTTCAATTATTGTCGAACAAGCGTCTGCATGGGACCACCCCCAAGGAAAGTCACAAAATAAACTTCAATTTCAAAGCGGAGTAACTACTGATCTAATCATGCAGCCACCAAACGCATCTCTATATCACTATCCACAAATCTCCACACCCACTGGTACTTCTGCTAGTGTTAGTCTTGCGTCAGTACCTCAACAAATGCCAGCTTCAGTGCCTGTCCAAGCTTCAACGAGTCATCCTTCCGCGAATATGGATCTTATGATGCTTTCAGGGAATGAAAGTGTGGGGAATTATGGAGCGCCAGTGAAGAATGAAGAATATGAGATTCATGCGCCTGATTATTCACGGGACATGTCTGGTAATTTCAATTAAGTCCCACTGTCCTTGGTGTATATATTGCTTTATTTGCATTGGTTTTTGCGTCTGTTCACTTCAGATATATCTGTATTTAGTTTGAATATTTTTCTGGACAAGATCGAGTCTTGATTTCAATCTTGTTATTCTGTATTAGTTTATATTATTTTTTATGTTTCTTTTCTTCGAGATTTTTGGTGTTAATAGTGTAATATACAAGGAATGGTTGTTGCTTATTTGATTATCAAATTTCGTAGTGTCTCAGTTTTCAACCCCTTTTTAATGGTTGCAAAATTTCCGAATGACTGTTAAATTATAATTCGGAATATTTTTTTTCTTGTTTACATTCAATTTTCCGATAATTATATCCAAATAAAGAATCACTCAAGTGTCACTTGGCAACGCATGCCACAAGAAGCAGTACAATGTAAGACTGAAACTTCAGGTGCATATACGATGAACATATCCGCGACTGACATGACTGTGCGTATTATCACATATCCAATTGAAAATAAATTATGAAGTTTGCCTACCAACCCGGTCAAATCGTGAAGAACTCACAACACATTCAATATAATTCTATTGTGAATATGACAAATAGCTATGATAAAGAGAATCTCATATAGACGTTATTTATACCGAAAGTAGCTATGATCCAAATGTTTGTACCCTTTGGGTGCAATTTCTCCTTGTTGAAATTCTTTCCTGCATATAGATAAATGACATCACATTTTTGACTCCGTTTTATCTCATCATCAAACCCATGAAAAAAAAATCAATTCACGGAATTTATTATGTGTTAAGGATCTCATCTCATCAAGTTTGAAAATACAGAGTAAACATGGATAGTAAGACTATTGGTATCTTAGGAGGTGGTCAATTGGGGCGTATGGTAGTTGAAGCTGCTCACAGACTTAATATCAAAACAGTTGTCTTAGATGCGGCAAATGCCCCAGCTAAACAGATCAATGCCCTTGATGAACATGTTGAAGGTTCATTTACTGATTATGACTCTATTGTCAAGTTGGCTGAAAAATCAGACGTCTTAACTATTGAAATTGAACATATTAATGTTGATGCATTACTTAAAGTACAAGAAAAATTCCCAAAACTTGAAATCTATCCATTACCGGAAACAATTAGATTAATTCAAGATAAATATAATCAAAAAGAACATTTATTAAAACATAATGTTGCTGTTACTGAATCAATTGCGGTTGAAAATAATACTGAAGAAGATTTATTGAAAATTGGATCAAAGTATGGTTTCCCATTTATGTTAAAATCGAGAACTTTAGCTTATGATGGTAGAGGTAATTTTGTAGTCAAAGACAAGACTTATGTCAAACAAGCTTTAGAATTCTTAAAGGATCGTCCGTTATATGCCGAAAAATGGTGTCCATTTACCAAAGAATTAGCAGTCATGGTTGTTAGAGCATTAGATGGACAAGTTTATGCTTATCCAACTGTTGAAACCGTTCATCAAAATAATATCTGTCACTTAGTCCACGCCCCAGCAAGAATTGCTGACACTTTAGCTAAGAAGGCTTCCCTTTTAGCCCAGAATGCAGTCAAGTCATTCCCAGGTTGTGGTATTTTCGGAGTTGAAATGTTTTTATTAGAAGACGGAGAATTATTAATCAATGAAATTGCCCCAAGACCACACAATTCAGGTCACTATACCATCGATGCATGTGTCACTTCTCAATTCGAAGCTCATATCCGTGCTGTCGCAGGATTACCTATGAACAAAGGGTTCACCGAATTAGCGACCACAAACACCAATGCAATCATGTTGAATGTCTTGGGTGATAAAGAAACTGCCAACAAAGAATTAGAAATTTGTCGTCGTGCTTTAGAAACCCCACATGCATCCGTATATCTTTATGGTAAGACCACCAGACCAGAAAGAAAAATGGGACATATCAATATTGTATCTTCATCTATGGAAGATGCCGATGCTAGATTATCATATATCTTAGGTGACTCGGAATCGATTCCAGAATCCTTACAACCAAAAGAAACTCCATCAGTGGGTATAATAATGGGATCAGATTCCGATTTACCTGTTATGGCAGTTGGTGCCCGTATCTTAAAAGAATTTGGAGTTCCATTTGAATTAACTATTGTAAGTGCACACAGAACCCCACATAGAATGTCACAATATGCAATTGAAGCACCAAAACGTGGATTGAAATGTATAATTGCCGGTGCTGGTGGAGCTGCTCATTTACCAGGTATGGTGGCTGCTATGACTCCATTACCTGTTATTGGTGTCCCTGTTAAAGGGTCTACTTTGGATGGGGTTGATTCCTTACATTCTATTGTTCAAATGCCTAGAGGTATCCCAGTTGCTACTGTTGCTATTAATAACAGTACCAATGCTGCCTTGTTGGCTATTAGGATCTTGGGTGCGGTTGATAGTAAATGGATGACTGCCATGGATAAATATTTGTTGAGAATGGAAACTGAAGTATTAGGAAAAGCTGAAGTTTTGGAAGACATAGGATACGAACAGTATTTAGATGAGAAGTTAAAGAAATAGATAGTTTTTTGAGAACTTGATAAATGACAATAATCTATATTTTTTTCAAATAATAATGCAAATATTAATATAAACTTTATGTGTAAAAAGAACTAAAACTAGAATTGACCAAACTTAACTTTCTATAAACCTCAAGAAATTCCCGACTGTTCTTGATTCTAACTAATGTACAAAATTGAATAAATGCAAAAACTCTCGATGATAAATGCTGTATGTATTAAAACTTAAGAGTCTTTCCCTTCTTCTTCTTAAGAGTTCTTTGTTTATATATTTGTTTTCTAGAATCTCTCCAACCCGAAGTACTTACCTTTTGTTCAGATTTATCGACTTCCATATCTTCTTCAGGCTTGTCATCAACAGTCTCTTCCTTTTTGGCTTCATCTTGTTTAACGGTTTCTTTTGCTAACTTATCAGCAATTCTCTTATTTCTGTCATCTACGAACTTGCTGAATTCTCCTTTACGCTTGACTGATTTAGCTCTTAATTTTGATTTAGATCTTAATGATTTGGCCATTTTTATATGTTAATTAGTTATAGTATATTCCAAGAGATAAGATACACGAGATATTCAATAGCTTGTAAAAATTATTATTGATACCTCATCGCATCTTCGATTTCGATAAATTCAGTCATGTGACCTTGGCTAGGGCTCTGCCCTAATTCAATTTGATCACATGATCCCTGAATTATTATATGCAGTATGAGATTCTCAACCTATTTTTGGTGTGGAGCGAAAAAATGTTGTTTTAAGGAGCGTTTTGTATTATGTAATCATCTCCTCATATTTTACGTAATCAAAACCATTACATCCAAACATCAATATATTACCCAGTTACTCTTGTGAGAGGAAAAATCCACTAGCAACCGAAAAAAATTTCACTGCAAAACACACTAACAAAATTTCGTTCACGCACTCACAGTAACAATTTTGGTTTGATTAAGAAAAAGTTTTTTAAGTCCCCTTCTTTTACTTTTCAATCTCTCTTTCTTAATAGGTATTCTTTAGTAAAGCAAAAATGTATGTTCATACATCATAAGACCAAGCAGATGACAAGAGAGATAGAGACGATCAGAGGGGATATGTGTTAAGTGGATTTAAACTAGTTGAAATGGGATCAGAATGAAGGAAACATGATGAGATGAATGAAATGAACTTCGAAGGCAAACTAGGGATGAACAATCTAACAACCACAACTAAACTACTACAGTATGATCAATCTAAAGACAGTAAATAATGGATTATATTATATCAATAAATTAAAATGCATAATGTTCGAAAGCATCATCAACCGAATAAATGTCAACATTTTTATATGGAATCTAATTAAAACGTATCCAACTTTTCCTAGTCATTATATTGGAATCAACACAAATACCCCTTGAGCATCATGATACTCGACCATCTGCAGAGAAATATAAATAGACAAATATACTAACTTTAATTAATAGGGCTAATCTTAGAACTCAAAAGAGACTTGCTGCCAGTGTCATCGGTGTTGGTAAGAGAAAGGTTTGGTTAGACCCAAATGAAACCACCGAACTTTCTAATGCTAACTCCAGAGCTGCCATTAGAAAATTATACAAGAACGGTACTATTGTCAAGAAGCCAGACACCACCCACTCCAGATCTAGAGCTAGAGCTTTATTAGAATCCAAGAGAGCCGGTAGACACATGGGTTACGGTAAGAGAAAGGGTACCAAGGATGCTCGTATGCCATCTCAAGTTTTATGGATGAGAAGATTAAGAGTTTTGAGAAGATTATTAGCTAAATACAGAGATGCTGGTAAGATTGATAAACACTTATACCACAACTTGTACAAGGCTGCTAAGGGTAACACCTTCAAGCACAAGAGATCTTTAGTTGAACATATTATCCAAGCTAAGGCTGAAGCCTTACGTGAAAAGGCTCTTAAGGATGAAGCTGAAGCTAGAAGAGTCAGAAACAGAGCTGCTAGAGAAAGAAGACAACAAAGACTTGCTGAAAAGAAGGAAGCTTTCTTGGCTGAAGGTAACTAAATTCTTTATTGAATTCATATTTCTTTGGAAAAGGTGATATAGAAAGATGATGAAGAAGGAGAATGTGTAAATGGTGTTGGCATTTTGTTTTTGTGTATTTTGGAGATGTCTGGATGTTTAATATTTATAAATACGAAAAACCCCCCAAATAAATGAAATACATAAATTTTATCGAAAACTCCTTTCTTTTTACTACTACGACAGCTTCATATGTCTTGAAGTATTCATCTTTTTCAAATGAAGAATAGCGGCTATTCTTTTTGGTCTTGTAATGTGTATTTAATAATTTGTTCATGTGTACTTTTTCTTTTTCAGTTTATATCTGGTAATGTATAAAAAATCGTATAAAAAGAGAGTAAATTGTAGAGTCGTCTGGGGACGTCTTACCTAATTATCCTTGCGAGAATTCTGATGACGATCAACTTGTTAGGTGAGTCGTGTTTACGTTTGTCTTACAACTAGTGGCAGACTATTAGAAGAGATGGACAGGTCCATTTATTTTGACAACCATTTACTTTTCATGGTTGCAAAAAATCTACAAAAATCAATAACTGACAAATAATGTAATATTAATTAAAAAACGATAAATAAAGAAATAAAATAAATATAAAAACGATAGATGAACTGAAGGAAGCTAAAAAGTAATGATGTAATTAATAATGTAACTCATCATAAACGATGACCAGGTACTAAGGAAAATAAGATCGTCATAACAGCAGTTGCCAAAATAATCAAGAACAATACCCAATGACTTCTTTTCAAAATAAACAGATAAATAAACTTTTCTCTAACTTTAATAATTTTACTTCCTTTAGCTGTTGTAGCAAAGCTTTCAGAATATCCAAACCAAGCCATTATTGGATCAATCAAATACGTGGCTGAAAACAACAAATAAAACCCTACGAAAAAGGGTAATAATATGACTGGTCTCATTGATTTTCGATAGTCTAAGAAGACAAGAATAAAACTTACCCAAAATCCAATGAATAAACCAAAGAATCCAAGAATTGTACGCCAATTTCGAGAATTGTTGATATTTCTAGTTGCCATATAATCAAGGAATTTAGGTAAATGATCTAATTGAATCTTATTAAAAATATAATTCTTAACATTATGGAAAATATCAGGATCATCACGACCATCAACTTCAATATTTTTAATTATGGCAGAATTTATATTTGATGGTAAATAAAGATTCTTTTCTGAATCTTCCACAAAATATTTCAACATTAAATTATGGGAAGATTCACGTAATCTATCTCTGGTTATAAAACTATCACTTTGGGATTTTGGAGTTACATCTCGAAGTAATTTTTCAATCATTACTGGATTTATTGATTTTCTTTTACTTTGAGGATCAGCAAATGGGTTGGCATTTGTTGCTGCGGCGGTAGCTGCGGGTCCACCTTGGCCACCCAGTAAGGAAATAAATCTAGCTGCCGTTGCTTTCTCACCTTGTTCCAATTGGTTCTCATATGAGTATGAATAATCACCCTCGTCGATACTGTCATTAGTTTCATCAATTAATTTTGATTGAGAATTGATTCTCTTTTCAGTTGGTTTTTCTTGAGATTCTCCACTTGGTAATCTATTAGTGTTGATGAATGTAGGTGATGACCTAGTGACATTACCCATTTTACTTATAGATACAATAGTGGGAGAGAATCTTCTGTCACCACTTATGATTTCTGTAGATTGTAGTTCTGCATTATAGTGTTCAATCAAATCATTTAATTTAGGATCAACATTATCTAAATTGATATCACCTCTAAGAAAAGCTGATAATCTATGAGAATCATTTTCTTCTAAAATATTATCATTAATGATTAAATCCAATAATATTGATGAACTTAAAGATTTATGTTTTGATCTATCGGAAATAGGTTGTGACATACGATAATCAGCAATAATATCTTGAGGATGAACCCCCAGTTGTTGAAGACCTTCACCAGCATCGACATCTTTTGAATGATGAAGTACAGTGGAAGTTCTAACAATTGAATCTCTTAATCCTTTAACATAATGTTTACATAAATTCAAATGATTAATAAGATCAAACCAGAAATCTAAATAATCAACTTTTCCTTCAACATCTTTCATAAATTGATAAAATGTATATAGATCAACTGGAGATTTTGTTTTATTGGCTAAGATTTCTCCTAATGTTGGTAATCGATTAAGATGAATGGATTGATTCGTGGCATTTAAGTTGTTGATGTTGGCTAAGTAATGTGAATTTGGAAAATTCACTTGATACTTTTCATCATAGTTCAAATGCTTCATGATTAAAACAAATCAACTGTAATGTGTAAAATCTATATGAAATGATATGCTAACGAAGGGATATTACAGTTAAAGGAATGTCGTGTGTATATATGGTATATATGGAATAGGGTATACAAATGAACTCTACTTGTCTAGTGGTAGTATTATTCACAGAAGTAGGTGTAGTGTCTGGTAACTAATATGAAAAAGTGTATGATGAAAATAAGATAAAACCCTAAAAATTTGAATTCGTGTTTTTTTTCTTTCCTTTTTCTTTTTGCTTTTTTCTTCGTCTGGCGGAAAGATTCTCTTGCGTTACTCTCGGAAATTCAAAATTAAATTGAATTCAAACTCAATTAGAGAGATCAATTAAGCTTTCAAACCCCGGGGGTAATAGACGATGCTAAAGAATACTGTCAAGAGTATTGTAATATAGAAGAATGTAAGAGAGAATAAGAATAGAAGTGGTATGTGTAATTATAAGCTTCCCTAATTAAGCGACAGGAGAATTAATTTCAATAAATTAAATTTTGAAACAAAATCGTAAATTTTAATTTTAAATTTTTTTATTTTCTTCGTTAAATAATTTATTTTTTCTTCGACAAATTATTTTTACCCAATTAGGTTAACAAGTAAATAAACTTAATTTATATTTTTGTTCATCATTTCTCTTCAATTGTTACATTTCTTTTCAATTATAATTCTTCTGAATAATTATACCCCTGCATTGTCTGTTCTTTGTTTCAACCCGAAACAAACAAAAAGCCATTGGAGACCGTACGTATTCTCTTGATTAAACTGCTTGAGACAGAATTCACCAAGAGTGGATACCATTGTGTAGGGGTTCAGATAATACAAGAATCAGGAGTTCATGAAACCTGTCAAGGAGCAGTGGGTTACTCATTGTTTACAGATAGAAGTTTTTGAAAGGCTACTCACAATCAAACAATTCTAGGTATGTAGGATAACAAATAGTCATGATAAATCGATTCTCGATCAAGTATTTTTCGCCTAGATGGATACCAAGAACCATTTCAAAGTGGAATATGTGTTCTTGGGACATTGTTATATCTTTTTTATGACAAGATTTATATTTCATATTTTTCCTATGTCACATTTCGAAAGCTTTAAAAGGAAGGACATTTCCTGTAAGTTTAGTTTAGTGTTTATACTTGTTTTCTTTCGATATGGACTATCTACTCTATTTTTAGACTTATACATGTATATTTATTTCTGTAAAGAGATACTATTATTCAATTAATAACTGAATTTAAACAAGTCACCTGTTTTGGTTTATTTATTAAGATTACTATTATTAAAATATAGAGATAACGATATTTGTAAAATATATTACCGGTAGACAAAAGATCATATGACGCCATTAAGTGGTTACGAAATGGTTGTATCGAACTTGAACTAGGGAAAACGGGCAATGAAGCATCTGGAAATGATTGCTAAACAGGATAACAAAAGTAGAAACAGCATAAATCCGGACTTCGTGTTCCTCATGTTGAAGCTAGATGAAGGAGAAAAAGAGCAAGTTGAAGCCCGGGATTGCTGGTAGCATTGCTCAGCTTTGACTTTCACTAAATGCTTGACTGATTCTTACAGTTAGTCGCAATTGCAAAGTCATAATTCAAAATCAGGATCAAACCAGAAAGCACTAAAACATAAGAAATAAATCTCAGAAAATATCAAAGCTGCAAATAATCTAGCTCTTGATGGAAAATCAAGTATCGTTGATGATGAAACTGCTAGCAGGTAGGTACTTTGATCGAGCCGTGGAAAGCATCAAATGTATAGGTATATTGATTCAAATTGTTTAAGGGTGATAATTTTCTTTACTAGTTTCGTTCGTGTTCTGCATTACATTCTGTCTCCGTTGGTCTCAACACAGGATTCAACGCGGAGCATGAAGCTATGAAAGTAGTATTGAAAGAAAATTTTCAATGCTTAAGCAATAAGAATCAATATATCTACACAATTGTGTGCTGCTTGGTTTTAAAAAGACAGATGCTTCTATCTTTTCACTGCTGGCAAACATCTGATCGACGAATGCCGTCAAATCTAACTGCTAACAATGAAAACTGAATTGGATATGATGTCTATCGGTCTACTTTTGCAGATTTTATGTTTTAGGTGTTATCTCCAATGTTAAGGTTGTTTTCAGATTTGTTCTTGAATTTTGAATTCGTTGACTCTTTTTGCATCTGATGCAAATCTGGATATGTGATTTCGAGATAATGGTTTTGTTAAAGTTCTATTAAGCCCGCTGGTAATACGCTTCGAAGTCATGATGTTGATTTCCATGACATCCTTGTTCATACTAACATTTCAAAGTTCTTCGATATATTTTCATAAAAAAAAGGTCACGTGATAGCGTTTATTTTCCAGCATCTACATTGAAGAAATCACATTCAACCTCGACAGTTATTGGCATATTAACATCTCTAAACCATGTGGTTTGTGTGATGTTGTGTTTTTGGAAACTAGCTGTTCATTTCAGGGCTCTTAGTTGTATTCTTGGTGTTCGATCTTCATAAGAATCTCACGTTTTATTTTTCAGATTCAGTTTTTTTTTGCAAAGACTGTTGCAAATTATTTTGCAATAAGACACAGAATGTTTTATTCTACTGATAAAAAACTTGAATATTACCTTATATCCAAGTACCAACCCCTTCTCGCACATATCTTTATAAATTCAAATCAGATGGAAATGTTTGTGACTTGAAGAAACGGATGTACAGTTGAAGCTTCTCTCCCAGCAGGTGAAAGAAAATAGAGAGACTGAACCTTATCCGAAATAGCCATTTCAAATGTATATACTGCCCATAAATTAAGTAGCCTTTTTCTTTGAAAAGAGCCTTATCAAACTCGTTAACACAAGGCGCATCCCATGTGTTTTGTTTCACATAAGCCGTTTTTATTGGCCGATTTTTGATGCCGTTCCAGTTGCTGATGTCATTCCAAGAAAAAATATGTTGCAAGAATGCAAAATACTTGCTGCGAAAAACGAAAATCCTTTGTTCATGTGGCACAACAATTTTGTGAATTGCAAACATAAAAACGTGCCGTTGCTTCCTCTTCTCGTACGTTTATATAAATAGATGGATCTCTGTCCATTCTTTCGTCTAATTAAAAATTATTAAAATTGATATATTATTTGGAATTACAGTTATTATATATATACATAATGACAAAAAATGAAAATCAAACTAAACAAATAAAGGATGTCTTGCAACGAAAACTAAACTTTTAAAAAATGAAATAGAAATGACAAAAAACTAAAACCACCCACGAATAACCCTACCACTAGTTTACCAGAACCAGCTGAAAAAACGAAAACCCAAAGAAAGTCCATAACTCAGAAAGAGACCTGTCATAGAAAACACTAATCAACTATCTCTTCCTTGACATAATGAGAAGCATGACAATGCAACCCATCATCTTCAGTCTTATGTCCCAAACCTTGCAATTTATGCAGCACAGTTCCTTCGCATTTTTGCATTTCAATATGTCTTTCCAACCATAACGCATTATTTTCAAAATATTGAAAACATCCAGCACATCTACCACTATGTTGATTTCTTTCACTTGATTTCGTACCTGGAGGATAAATGAAATGCAATGCCTTTAAATGAGTCTTAAATGTGTCTCGTCTACTAAATCCACCAGTTGGATGACATTTCGTGCCGATATTTCCATCTTCTTGATAGAAGGGACACATGAATGCTTTGGATGAACTATGTTTCTTTAAATGACGAGTGAGGTATCCTTTGACTTTGAATGTGGCATCACAATGGGGACATTCGAAAATATTGTCGATGGTTGTACCGTCCTTGGTGGCGATTGTCTTTTTACAAACTATGGTATTGTTGGTTGTGGTTGTGGTTGTGATGATGGTAGGTTCATTATCGTCGTATGAATTTGAGGAGCTTGAACTATTGGATCTGACTTTTTCAAGTTGCATTTGAATGAGTTTATCTGATTTTTTGGTGTATTTTCTCTTTGGTCGTGCTTGTTCATCCTCTTGTTTTCTCTTTCTTTTGTTGGTTTCAGTTGGTTTCTTTATGACTAATTCATCGTCTAATGGATTGACATAGCTTTCTACAGAAGATATCGAACAAGTGCTTGACATGTATGTGGATTGTCCAGATGGACTTCCCGATTCTTGTCTAGTAACTTTTGCAACCGATCTTTGAACTGGAGCAAAATCATCGAAATATGGAAGATCCATATCAAAGCTAGAATCAGGGAAGTATGGTAATCTAGTAGTAGGTTGAGGTTGTGATGGGGCCGGTTTTTGTTGAGGATATTGTAAGCCAGCTTTAGCCATTTCAAATTCAAAATTTCCCGAATAGAGAAGTTGTGGATGTTGATGAAGAGATGAAGGAGCATGCAACATGTTGTTATTCAATGAAATATCTGTAGGGGTCATTTCACGATGAATATTATATTGATAGTGATTGTGAGCTTCATAAAAATCGTCAAATATAGGTACTTGTCCTGCTTGGTTATATGCCAAATCAGTTTTGGACGTAGTCTGATAAGTTGGATGATGTAATGAATTTGAGTGGGTATTATGGGGCACACTATTATTGAAGAATTCGATTTGATTATTGTCACCGAATCCTAACTCTAAATCATCAGCAGCACATAGCTTTGGAAAGAATCCTTTGAAGTTATTGAGATTTTGTACATTACTAATTATTGGGAATAATTCGAAATATCTCTTTGTTCCATAAATTAATTGATTTAATACTTTGAAAACATTTAGTTTTAATGATAATAAGTTTGGTAAAGTATAATTCTTATAATAATCGGTAGGGCTTGATGTTGCAATACCAACATTTATTTTACCACCAATGGTGGTGGTACCCTGCGTCAATAAACCTATGCCAAGACTAAACATTTTTTGCAACTATTTTCTATGCAGTTGTATGTCTGAGATTAAGTTATGAAGTGTCTATTAGTATTATGTACTTGATGTAGGTTGTCGTGGTATTATGTCTATCGGTCTATGTTCTATTAGATCCAGATCTATTTGGCTTATTCTATAGGCTTTTGTTCCGTCAGGAAAAACAAGTAGAAAGCTGTTGTATGTGGCTATGTTCTTTTTTCTCTCAGTGAGTAACAAGAATAGATTGCAAAATGTTCTTTAGTATAGTCCTTTAGTTTCAAACTATTTGAATGATACAAAAGTTGCAAAGAAGTTATAAAGAAAGAAAAAGCCAAAAGTTGATAGTTAAAATAAAAATTAGAAAAACAAACGGATATATTTAAAATAATTCCCAACCTCCTTCAAAAATACACAAATTGATTTTGAAGGGTTTAAAGAAGAATTTAAAAAAGATTTTTCCAATTTTTTGATGCCGTGCGATTTTCAAATCTCCAAAACTAAAACTTTAATAAAAAAATTTCTGTTTACAGGTTAGCTCTCGGTCTTATTGTTCCATAATCCACAACCGATTACAATTGCAACAATATCAAGTGCTTTTCATCAAATTCTTTAGCTGATTACCAGGGGATGTGCACTACTCATCAGCTGATGGTCACTCTATAGGGCCATTACTAAGCATTTCGAACTTACATAGGTTCAGCCACCGGAATTATCATTGCGAAGTGACTGACTTGATATAAGCCTCTTTAGAAATGCCTTTCGAAAAAGTAATGTACTGCACATAAATATATCTAACCTGCAAAAAAGTTGCAGATTTCAAGAGATTCAACTATTAACGAATTGCTCGCAACCTAGTTGGACATAGACATCGGTTAAAGAAGGTATTTAGTTTGCTTCTCCAACTCCACCAACACCTTAACATTTGACAATTTCGCTATTCTCTTGAGGTGGGGAATGTAATTAATCGGCTTCTGTCAACGTTCGTTCGTCTTCTTTTCCCCTCGAAGGGTTTCTGTTTCTCTCGGTAGAAGAGATAATTGAATCAAATATAGTTTTGTAAACCAGTTGCAATTTTGATTGTTCAAAGTCAAATGGAATCATCAGAACAATGAATGATTTATTTTTAACTAAAAAAATAATTGTCACTTTCTGAAGATAACGAAGGCTAAGGAAGGGACGATTTCTGATTTCTACTTGAGATTAGAGTTGCTTATATGACTGTGTATCTAAGCTCTCTGATTCCTATCAATATCATATCAAATATTTAGACACTTTCGATATTTGGAAGCAGATCTGTGAGGTTAAACAGATAACGGATTTATATCATTTCAAAAATTTCTCCGTCCTTCATTAAAAATATTAGAATTTCTTTTTTCATTGTTTGTCGTTATGGGGAACCCCGGCAATAACTCCGAATCATGCATTATCAATTAAAAATAATATTCACGTTATTGTGGCTGAGGATACAATCAAATCAAATGGTTGCAAAATTCAATCGAGGAAGCAATTGAAATTTTCGTCACACTAGACTGCGTGTTACCTATGACAACAGCCACTCACCGCATTCAACAGGGGCCCGGAATATAAATCTAAACTAAACTATGACTTGGAAGTTAAATGCATGACCGTGCCTCGAATAATTATTCGCGAGAGAAATAATAGAACTCTGTCAAGTTTTGGCGATCTTCTATTGTATTACCTGATCGATAAGGCCGATCAATCTAGATTTTGAAATTTGACCCAGCGGTAATCCCGCTAAACTAAAAATTGGCTTCATTGTTTGTCATGTATAATATCTTGATGTTAATTGGACGGCTAAAATTCTATTGTTGCCTCAAATATTCCAAAATTGGCTGTGGAGGATCTATGTAGACCTTAGAAAGCATGCCAATTCCTGATTACTAATAACTATCAAGACCAATACACACGGAACGTCTCCACAATACCTACTTCTACCACACATTGCAACCACACTATTGTTGGCAACATGTAAGTTATCTTTTCTGACTTCAATTAAACAAAGCGAGTGACCTAAGCCCCGTGACTCCACAGTTGGTTCCGTAGTAGGAGATATTGTGTCCAAGATTTGCTGCAAATGTCGAGATTCCATTGAGATTGTTGAAAACCCCATTCCAACCAGCTTTTCGGCCATCTGGAACAAACTGTGGTAATACTTTGTTTCCTTTCTAAGAGAGCTGAATCGATTTATAAAGCGTTTTAGGAATAGCGGCTTACTGTTAAACTAAGAAGATGAAACCAACTAAGAAGATGCTGAACAGCGAGTAGCCTAGTAAATCCAATAAACGTTATTCCCAGAGCAGTACTTAATTGCAAAAGCCAGTTGTGGCATAACCTAAACCCAATGGAACTCAGACGAATACTAACAACTGATTTAAACTTCACGGAGATTCTCCCTTAACTACTCATTAACACTTATCCTGGGGTTGGCCCCGTTCACCAATTCTTTCCTAACACAGCCAACTGAGAGCAGTAATGCGGCACAAAGACTAAGTGTTGGAATTTTTCAGGTTCCATCCACAATTATGCAGTCGTTACATTATTGCTACACAATGGATGATCTTAGAAATAAACTACATTGCTACCTCGAACAATTGAAAGCCGTTGAACGTTTTTTCCTATAAAAGAAGTACACTATTCGCGATCTATGGGTCAATTTAATGATTTTCATTATTTTGTAATTGGTATGTCACTAGCCAATTTCGCAAAAGTTCCGTGATTAGAGACTCCAGTTGTGGTAGCCACGTATAGAATATGGTATTGTTCAAGTTAGGTCAGGGCCAATCT